CTTTCCACTGTCATCATGACACCATTAATTGCCTAAGCCAGTTGGGCAATTTTAAACCTAGCCAATTACCTGATCGAGAAGCATTGTTGTTCACTAGTTTACTCCAAGTGGGGAAAGGGTGGCGGGGTTGGAAAGTAATAAAGGGGAATATATACAGTCATGGCCAAAATTGTTGGCACCCCTGAAATTTTTCCAGAAAATGAAGTATTTCTCACAGAAAAGTATTGAAATTACACATGTTTTGCTATGCACATGTTTATTTCCTTTGTGTGTATTGGAATAACACAAAAAAAACAGGAAAAAAGCAAATTTGACATAATTTCACACAAAACTCAAAAAATGGGCCGGACAAAATGATTGGCACCCTTAACTTAATATTTAGTTGCACACCCTTTGGAAAAAATAACTGAAATCAGTCGCTTCCTATAACCATCAATAAGCTTCTTACACCTCTCACCCGGAATTTTGGACCACTCTTCTTTTGCAAACTGCTCCAGGTCTCTCATATTGGATGGGTGCCTTTTCCCAACAGCAATTTTAAGATCTCTCCACAGGTGTTCAATGGGATTAAGATCTGGACTCATTGCTGGCCACTTCAGAACTCTCCAGCGCTTTGTTGCCATCCATTTCTGGGTGCTTTTTGAAGTATGTTTGGGGTCATTGTCCTGCTGGAAGACCCATGATCTCGGACGCAAACCCAGCTTTCTGACACTGGGCCCTACATTGCGACCCAAAATCCTTTGGTAATCCTCAGATTTCATGATGCCTTGCACACAGTCAAGGCACCCAGTGCCAGAGGCAGCAAAACAACCCCAAAACATCTTTGAACCTCCACCATATTTGACTGTAGGTACTGTGTTCTTTTCTTTGAAGGCTTCATTACATTTTCGGTAAACAGTAGAACGATGTGCTTTACCAAAAAGCTCTATCTTGGTCTCATCTGTCCATAAGACGTTCTCCCAGAAGGAATTTGGCTTACTCATGTACATTTTGGCAAACTGTAGTCTTGCTTTTTTATGTCTCTGTGTCAGCAGTGGGGTCCTCCTGGGTCTCCTGCCATAGCGTTTCATTTCATTCAAATTTCGACGTATAGTTCGCGCTGACACTGATGCACCCTGAGCCTGCAGGACAGCTTGAATTTCTTTGGAACTTGTTTGGGGCTGCTTATCCACCATCCGGACTATCCTGCGTTGCAACCTTTCATCAATTTTTCTCTTCCGTCCACGTCCAGGGAGATTAGCTACAGTGCCATGGGTTGCAAACTTCTTGATCATGTTGCGCACTGTGGACAAAGGAACATCTAGATCTCTGGAGATGGACTTGTAACCTTGAGATTGTTGATATTTTTCCACAATTTTGGTTCTCAAGTCCTCAGACAGTTCTCTTTTCCTCTTTCTGTTCTCCATGCTTAGTGTGGCACACACAGAAACACAATGCAAAGACTGAGTCAACTTCTCTCCTTTCTGCTTTCAGGTGTGATTTTTAGATTGCCCACACCTGTTACTTGCCCCAGGTGAGTTTAAAGGAGCATCACATGCTTGGAACAAACTTATTTATCCACAATTTTGAAAGGGTGCCAATAACTTTGTCCGGCCCATTTTTTTAGTTTTGTGTGAAATTATGTCAAATTTGCTTTTTTCCTGTTTTTTTTGTGTTATTCCAATACACACAAAGGAAATAAACATGTGCATAGCAAAACATGTGTAATTTCAATACTTTTCTGTGAGAAATACTTCATTTTCTGGAAACATTTCAGGGGTGCCAACAATTTTGGCCATGACTGTATATATTTTTAAAGGATATGTATGTGTATGTATGTATGTGTGTGTGTATGTGTGTGTGTATGTGTGTATGTGTGTATATGTGTATGTGTATGTGTATATATATAAAACATGGGGATTGGAAGTGATGCAGACAATTACATTGATGGAAGTTAAAATCTATCTGCAATATTAAGCTGATCTACCCCCCCCCAAAAAAAATTACCTGATCGTGGCATATGTCGTCATAAGTCATATAAGCTAACCTAATGTAGGAGTCCCCACTTCCCTTTTTCAGGGGAAATGGAAGTTAGGTTTCAAATACTGTATCCCTGAAAACCGGCAACATCCGCTTTCTTCCAACACCGCTAAGGGTGGTTATAAGCTGACTTCAAAAGCTTACTGTTTATAACATATGGCAGTGTCAAACGTGTTATAGGCCTAACAGTCTTATGTAGCCCTTATGACAGAGAGTTCAAGTTACCAAATAAAGCATGAGAATTAATACTGACATATGACTGAATTACATTATAGTCATGTCATGGAATCATAGAGAACTGTTCATTAACATAAGTGACAACATTAAGCTGTCAGTAAGTAGGCTAATGGACAGTGACATACTTTAGAATAGGCCTGTCAATCACTCTCCCACAAGAAGGCATGCTGGACTTGTTTACAGATAAGATACTGGTAAGAGTCCACATTGTACTGGGGAAGAGTGAAAACACAGTTTACAGCTTGGGTAGAGATGGAGGAGCACAGGTATATAAACCAGGCATGGCAGCCTGTGGTGTAAAAGAAGATAAGAATAGAGTGGTCCATAAAAAGGCTTACTTAAACCTGACTAACTTCATCAGGAACTCATGTGCTCCTGTCTCAAACCACCATTGTCTTCTGCTATGACTGACTTTGCCAACATTACGAACTGCACAGACACAGAGACAGCACAGCACAGAGGAACACAAGGCACATAACAAGATGATGATGTAAGAGTTTACTTTAAGTCTATTTATTGACGGATATGTAAATAGATAGGCATTACATCATGTTATGTTTTATTTTTTCTCGTTACAGTGCAGTCTAAAAAGGAAAGAAATACGCGTTTAGCAGGGCTTGTAGACGCATGAACGTGTCTGATCTGTCGGGGCGCTGTTTTGATTGTGTGTGTGCCCAGCGCCGTACACTGCAGGCCCTCTCTCCCACCAGGCTTATGCGAACGAGGCTTAGCAGGCAGCGCAGTTCTTCCGTAGGCTCCAGCTTTTCCCCTCGACCAAAAATGTCGCATATTCGTCTTATGGAGAGTGTGAAGACATATCTTGCCTTCTCGAAATATAGAACTGTTATCTGATTAACATCTTAGCATATTTAATGGTTGTGTATTTATCTAGGACGACTCCACTCCACCCCCTATCCAAGGTCTCTACCATATCATTTCCTTTCCAACAATCCACACAAATAAGCCAATACGTGATTCAAACTCTCTTTTGATGTTCAGGGCATGATGGAGTCTTTATGGAAATTCCTGCGCATTATGGCACACTGTCCCCCTACTACACACACCAGTTACATTTACCCGTCGTGAGCCTTTCTTCTGTAACCTGACATATGATATACACTAAATATTATTGTGGAAAGTGGTTTCTTCAACGGTGTTTAATGAATGAATGCAGCTTTGCATTGAGGCTTTGGAATGTTTTGGATGGATTGGAAATGTGTGCGTAATTGCGGTTCAATCTTTTTTTGCTTTGATGTGAACTTCATATCGAGCATATTTTAACACTTTGTGGCCTGTTTTTTGTGAACAGACTCCATTTTGAAGGACCCGGTGAGCAGAGAAAAGGCTTTGCAACTCATCTAAAGAAAAGGAAGCCATCTGTTTTCTGGGTAGCCTATATTAGAACCTATTTACATGAAGATATTCTAATCCTATAATTTAAAAGCGCATGAGGTGTCCATATGGGTTATGATATGATGCCATTGTTGGCACAAGTTTAGCAAATGACAGGCATGTCATAGTGATTCATGTGAATGACAGTAATTGAACATGTATGTGATAATTAAAGACCAGTAGAGAGGAATATGTCCGTATTTTTTCCATCCCACATATTTTTGGATTTTTGGTGGAACTCAAAGCCTCAGCAATACTTCAAGCTGGGGGTTGGGAGGCAGTGCGGATTGGTCCGCTCTCACACAGACACGGGCAGGCAGGGGCTGCAAGGGGCAGGTCGACAGCTAGGAAATAGTAATAATTTAATAATGCATTGAATATGAGGTAACAAGGAATTAGAAACTTATAGCACTGTATGATATGTCGCTGTAAAGGGGTGGTTCTCTCAGTAAGTGAAATGCATGCATATATTTATCGTTTGAAGGGGCCGCGGGTGGTGTAAGAGCTATCGCAAGTAGAGAGAGTGTATGTCCACAGGATCCTGGCCTAGTATTGCTGCTGCTGGGATTCTCCTCATCCGCTTTCACAAAATTCGAAAATAGCATATTTAATGACAGAAATGAAAGGGTTGACAGTTGTTTTTGCGGTGACCGACATTTAAATGGTAAGATTCTTGCGGCATATCATTGTCATACGCGTTTTTATTTGTTTAAACATTCCGTCATTGTGTACAGTATACGTCTGTCGGTGGAAGTCTGTACGTATGTGTGGCAGTGTGAACTTGTGTGTCGATACTGTATGTTCGCGTGCCAGCTATGCACTAAACCTATATCTCTGTGGTGCCTCGTGAGCCGTGGCACACAGAGTTGATGCACAGGCGCTGTCAAGAGCTGTCCATTTTATTCATGGTTTCGCTATTTCTACACCAGCCTTTTGAAATCAACTTAACCCTTCGTTGTCGCTGGGCAGGACAGCGTGTCATTACAGTTACTCTGGTCTAATTTTAACATAACCAGCGGCCTGCCAAACGCGCAATAGGTTGCCACAGGTCCACGTTCTTGGCGGTGTAGCGAGGAGTGGAATGATGATGACACTGTTGCCTAATACTTTATTTTCTCTCATTTTTGAGGTGGGGCAAGAAAACCATCTCACATTTTTATATATAACGAAACTCAGTAATTTAAAACCTTCCCAATTTTACAACACTATTGTTTTTGATAACTTTTCAATAATATAACTTCTTAGCATCCCCATTTTGCCACTCTCTATACTAGCTAACAACGAACAATAAAACAAATTGTATGTGATCAATAATTGCAAATCCATACAATTAATGTTTTTTTTATGTTTAGGATGGAGCCTTGCTAGGATGAGTTGGCCCTATGAACTGCCCATCAGCGATGCTCAGGCCTGTCACTCTGACCCAACATTGACCTCTGCCCCCAATGACCCCGTCTCTCCCTCCTCAAAGCACAATAACCCCAATTCTAGACTAGACCCTTCACATGCCATGCAGCTGTCCACCGCCCCTGCCCTCAAACCTCCATCCACCTATGGGTTCATGCACAAGGACCTATCCTCTTCCTACAGTCCTCTGAGAAGGCTACAGCACCTGACCACCATGGTCAGCCACCCGGACCTGGTACTGCTTGGAGAGGGGGAGAGGGCCTCCCAGGGCTCCAGGGAGGACTCGCACACCCGGAATGCTGTTGGGAAAACTGACTTTGGGAATTCCTTGGCCCTCACAGCTCCCCAGCCAGGCAGCAGAGACACAGACACCAGTAAGACTAATCCTAGTGTGGAGAAGAAGAGTGACTGTTGCTTCTCTGACCAATCTAGTCCAGCCTTCTCACTGGATAGCAATAGCCCTTTTGCGAATGGCTACCTGCCCTTTGAGTCCACTTTGTTTGATGATGATGATGATGAAGAGGATGATGATGACGATACAGCTTTACCTCTGACAGACAGACAAAGAAAAGTTGGAAAGTCACCTGAACCACTTCCTGAATTTTTCAACTTTAAGGTAAAACAATTACTGGAGCCAGGGCTATCTGTGGGTAAAGGCTTGCAGTCCCCTAGTGTCCCCCCATTAACGGCACATGAAGGTTCAGACGGGGTCTGGGGGAGTGACTGTGAGCCGCTCTCTTTTGGGAATAGCCCCTCTGGGCCTGCAATGGCAAGTCCTACTACTGTTATGACCTTTTACATAACATGGCTATTCACAGCAACATCATATAGTACCCAACAGCCCTCATATTTAATCCTGTAACATGTCACAGTTCTGGCCTGGGTACTTCCTTTTCAGTCCAGATCACCTGTTTTTAATTTTTTAATTTTTTTATTTAACCAGGTAAGCCAGTTGAGAACAAGTTCTCATTTACAACTGCGACCTGGCCAAGATATAGCAAAGCAGTGCGATAAAAACAACAACACAGAGTTACATATGTGGTAAACAAAACATAAAGTCAAAAATACAACAGAAAATATATATACAGTGTGTGTGAATGTAGTAAGTTATGGAGGTAAGACAATAAATAGGCCATAGTGCAAAATAGTTACAATTTCGTATTAACACTGGAATGATAGATGTGCAAAAGATGATGTGCAAATAGAGATACTGGGGTGCAAATTAGCAAAATAAAGAACAATATGTGGATGAGGTAGTTGGGTGGGCTAATTTCAGAATGGCTGTGTACAAGTGCAGTGATCGGTAAGCTGCTCTGACAACTGACGCTTAAAGTTAGTGAGGGAGATAAGAGTCTCCAGCTTCAGAGATTTTTGCAGTTCGTTCCAGTCATTGGCAGCAGAGAACTGGAAGGAATGGCGGCCAAAGGGGGTGTTGGCTTTGGGGATGACCAGTGAGATATACCTGCTGGAGCGCAGACTACGGGTGGGTGTTGCTATGGTGACCAGTGAGCTAAGATAAGACGGGGATTTGCCTAGCAGTGATTTATAGATGACCTGGAGCCAGTGGGTTTGGCGACGAATATACAGTGAGGGCCAGCCAACAAGAGCGTACAGGGCACAATGGTGGGTAGTATATGGGGCTTTGGTGACAAAACGGATGGCACTGTGATAGACTACATCCAATTTGCTGAGTAGAGTGTTGGAGGCTATTTTGTAAATGACATCGCCGAAGTCAAGGATCGGTAGGATAGTCAGTTTTACGAGGGCATGTTTGGCAGCATGAGTGAAGGAGGCTTTGTTGCGAAATAGGAAGCCGATTCTAGATCTAACTTTTGATTGGAGATGCTTAATGTGAGTCTGGAAGGAGAGTTTACAGTCTAACCAGACACCTAGGTATTTGTAGTTGTCCACATACTCTGCCAGAGGTCCAGACAACAGGCCCTCCGATTTGACACATTGAACTCTATCTGAGAAGTAGTTGGTGAACCAGACGAGGCAGTCATTTGAGAAACCAAGGCTATTTAGTCTGCCAATAAGAATGCGGTGGTTGACAGAGTCGAAAGCCTTGGCCAGGTCGATGAAGACGGCTGCGCAGTACTGCCTTTTATCGATCGCGGTTATAATATCGTTTAGGACCTTGAGCGTGGCTGAGGTGCACCCATGAACAGCTCGGAAACCGGATTGCATAGCGGAGAAGGTACGGTGGGATTCGAAATGGTCGGTGATCTGTATGTTAACTTGGCTTTCAAATACTTTCGAAAGGCAGGGCAGGATGGATATAGGTCTGTAACAGTTTGTATCTAGAGTGTCACCCCCTTTGAAGAGGGGGATGACCGCGGCAGCTTTCCAATCTCTGGGGATCTCAGACATTACGAAAGAGAGGTTGAACAGGCTAGTAATAGGGGTTGCGACAATTTAGGCGGCTAATTTTAGAAAGAAAGGGTCCAGATTGTCTAGCCCAGCTGAATTGTAGGGGTCCAGATTTTTCAGAACATCAGCTGTCTGAGGGGGGGGGGGGGGGGGGGGGGCATGGGCAAGTTGCAGCGGAGGGTGCAGAGTTGGTGGCCGGGGTAGTGGTAGCCAGGTGGAAAGCATGGCCAGCCGTAGCAAAATGCTTGTTGAAATTCTCGATTATTGTAGATTTATCGGTGGTGACAGTGTTTCCTAGCCTCAGTGCAGTGGGCAGTTGGGAGGAGGTGCTCTTATTCTCCATGGACTTTACAGTGTCCCAAAACCTTTCGGAGTTAGTGCTACAGGATGCACATTTCTGTTTGAAAAAGCTAGCCTTTGCTTTCCTAACTGATTGTGTATATTAGTTCCTGACTTCCCAGAAAAGTTGCATATCGCGGGGGCTGTTCGATGCTAATGCAGTACGCCACAGGATGTTTTTGTGCTGGTCAAGGGCAGTCAAGTCTGAGGAGAACCAGGGGCTATATCTGTTCTTAGTTCTGAATTTTTTGAATGAGGCATGCTTATTTAAGATTGAGAGGAAAGCATTTTTAAAGAACAACCAGGCATCCTATACTGACGGAATGAGGTCAATATCCATCCAGGATACCCGGGCCAGGTCAATTAGAAAGGCCTGCTCGCTAAAGTGTTTTAGGGAGCGTTTGACAGTGATGAGGGGTGGTCGTTTGACCACGGACCCATTACGGACGCAGGCAATAAGGCAGTGATCGCTGAGATCCTGGTTGAAGAGAGCGGAGGTGTATTTAGAGGTTAAATTTGTCAGGATGATATCTATGAGGGTGCCCATGTTTACAGATTTAGGGTTGTACCTGGTAGGTTCATTGATAATTTGTGTGAGATTGAGGGCATCTAGTTTAGATTGTAGGTTGACCGGGGTGTTAAGCATATCCCAGTTTAGGTCACCAAGCAGTACGAACTCTGAGGATAGATGGGGGGCAATCAGTTCACATATGGTGTCCAGGGCACAGCTCGGGGCTGAGGGGGGTCTGTCGCAAGCGACAACAGTGAGAGACTTATTTCTGGAAAGGTGGATTTTTAGAAGTAGAAGCTCAAACTGTTTGGGCACAGACCTGGATAGTATGATAGAGCTCTGCAGGCTATCTCTACAGTATATTGCAACCCCACCCCCTTTGGCAGTTCTATCGAGACGGAAAATGTTGTAGTTGGGGATGGAAATGTCTGAATTTTTAGTGGCCTTCTTAAACCAGGATTCAGACACTGCTAGAACATCAGGGTTGGCGGAGTGTGCTAACGCAGTGAATAACTCAAACTTAGGGAGGAGGCTTCGGATGTTAACGTGCAAGAAACCAAGGCTTTTACGGTTACATAAGTCAACAAATGATAACGCCTGGGGAGTAGAAGGGATACTGGGGGCTACAGGCCCTGGGTTAACCTCTACATCACCAGAGGAACAGAGGAGGAGTAGAATAAGGAAATGGCTAAAGGCTTTAAGAACTGGTCTTCTAGTGCGTTGGGTACAGAGAAAAAAAGGGGCAGATTTCCGGGCATTGTAGAATAGATTCAGGGCATTATGTACAGACAAGGATATGGAAGGATATGAGTACAGTGGAGGTAAACCTAAGCGTTGGGTAACGATGAAAGAGATAGCATCACTGGAGGCACCGATTGAGTCGGTCTCCACGTGTATGGGGGGTGGGACAAAGGAGCTATCTAAGGCAGGTTGAGCTAGGCTGGGGGATCTACAGTGAAATAGTACAATAAGAAATAACCAAAACAGCAATAAGCAAGGCATATTGACATGGGAGAGAGGCATAAAGCAATCACAGGTGTTATTCAAGAGAGCTAAGACAACAGTTGGTAATGGGGACAAAGTTTCGGCTGAGGCTAAACATAAACAGGATGCGGTACCGTATAAAGGAATAGTCCAGCAGGCATCAGCTGTATAGCTGAGTTATCATAAGGTCTGGTGAACAGCAATAGGAGAGTTCGGAGGTAGTTCGGGGGCTGCTACAGCACTGGCGAGCAAGAGGCCACGGCTTGCGTGTGCTAGCGGGCCGGGGCTAGCAGATGGGTCTTCGTGGTCGACGTCGTAACGGGAAGCCTTTTGAAACCACATCAGACGATTTCGTCGGCAGACCAGTCGTGTTGGATCGGCGGGGCTCCGTGTCAACACTAGGAGGTGTTGACAGAGAGGTAGATAGCTGGGAGATGGGCCTGGCTCGAGGCTAGCTCAAGGCTAACTGGTGCTTGCTAAGGGGCAATGGTAATTAGCCAACGTCAACAGCCATTCGGTTGCAGCTAGCTAGTTGCGATGATCCGGCACTAGGGTCCAGTGAGTCCAGTTTTACTGCGCAACATAAATTGTCAAGCTTATTGGTTTTGATTATATGTGAAATGTCAATGAAGATAGTGAGAGGCCTAAATCCTAACTAATTAGCCAGAAAGGTCAAGCAAGGTCACTTCCTCTATAATAGATAAGATCCTCATAGCTGGAGAGGATCCATGTAATTCCAGCATATCATATGGTGAATTGCAATCAATAATAACACCTGCACAGAGAAAAGTAATTAGTCAGGCCATATCCAGAGCTTTGTTTAGTGGCTGGGATGTTATGCATGATCAGTTGATACAAGTTTAGTAAGGTTGACTGACATCTAGGCCAGAGAGTGTGCACAGAGCTGATATATGCATTTTAATGTTTAAAAAAAGTTCCTTCGAGATTTTTTAAAAAGACAGTTGGTAATATAATGTGGGTTTGCACTATCTTGCATCTGGTGAAAATTAGGATAGAGTTGCAGGGATTTAACTTTACCTAACCTAATTTACCTCCTAATACACTTCAAAAGCAACCAGATTGGTTGTTGATGTATCATGACTGTGGTCCTGGCCACTCAGCAACTGTATAGTCTTGGAAAATATTGGAATGCTTGTATATGTTTTGACAGAATATTACATTTGCATATTTAAATTGGCATGTCAATTCTGATATAGTACTTTATATATATATATATACAGTGGGGAGAACAAGTATTTGATACGCTGCCGATTCTGCAGGTTTTCCTACTTACAAAGCATGTAGAGGTCTGTAATTTTTATCATAGGTACACTTCAACTGTGAGAGACGGAATCTAAAACAAAAATCCAGAAAATCACATTGTATGATTTTTAAGTAATTAATTTAAGATCATACATTTCCTGTAGGTCTTGACCAGGTTTGCACACACTGCAGCAAGGATTTTGGCCCACTCCTCCATACAGACCTTCTCCAGATCCTTCAGGTTTCAGGGCTGTCGCTGGGCAATACGGACTTTCAGCTCCCTCCAAAGATGTTCTATTGGGTTCAGGTCTGGAGACTGGCTAGGCCACTCCAGGACCTTGAGATGCTTCTTACGGAGCCACTCCTTAGTTGCCCTGGCTGTGTGTTTCGGGTCGTTGTCATGCTGGAAGACCCAGCCACGACCCATCTTCAATGCTCTTACTGAGGGAAGGAGGTTGTTGGCCAAGATCTTGCAATACATGGCCCCATCCATCCTCCCCTCAATACGGTGCAATCGTCCTGTCCCCTTCGCAGAAAAGCATCCCCAAAGAATGATGTTTCCACCTCCATGCTTCACGGTTGGGATGGTGTTCTTGGGGATGTACTCATCCTTCTTCTTCCTCCAAACACGGCGAGTGGAGTTTAGACCAAAAAGCTCTATTTTTGTCTCATCAGACCACATGACCTTCTCCCATTCCTCCTCTGGATCATCCAGATGGTCATTGGCAAACTTCAGACGGGCCTGGACATGCGCTGGCTTGAGCAGGGGGACCTTGCGTGCGCTGCAGGATTTTAATCCATGACGGCGTAGTGTGTTACTAATGGTTTTCTTTGAGACTGTGGTCCCAGCTCTCTTCAGGTCATTGACCAGGTCCTGCCGTGTAGTTCTGGGCTGATCCCTCACCTTCCTTATGATCATTGATGCCCCACGAGGTGAGATCTTGCATGGAGCCCCAGACCGAGGTTGATTGACCGTCATCTTGAACTTCTTCCATTTTCTAATAATTGCGCCAACAGTTGTTGCCTTCTCACCAAGCTGCTTGCCTATTGTCCTGTAGCCCATCCCAGCCTTGTGCAGGTCTACAATTTTATCCCTGATGTCCTTACCCAGCTCTCTGGTCTTGGCCATTGTGGAGAGGTTGGAGTCTGTTTGATTGAGTGTGTGGACAGGTGTCTTTTATACAGGTAACGAGTTCAAACAGGTGCAGTTAATACAGGTAATGAGTGGAGAACAGGAGGGATTCTTAAAGAAAAACTAACAGGTCTGTGAGAGCCGGAATTCTTACCTGTTGGTAGGTGATCAAATACTTATGTCATGCCATAAAATGCAAATTAATTACTTAAAAATCATACAATGTGATTTTCTGGATTTTTGTTTTAGATTCCGTTTCTCACAGTTGAAGTGTACCTATGATAAAAATTACAGACCACTACATGCTTTGTAAGTAGGAAAACCTGCAAAATCGGCAGTGTATCAAATACTTGTTCTCCCCACTGTATATATATATATATATATATAATATAACATGAATTTAAACCTTTTTAAACATGTCTTGAGGTAATTTAAATATTGATTTATTTGGTGTCTGTCAACAGATGGACAGCCCAAAGAAGAAGTCCCTTCCACCTGTAAAGTTTTTAGAGGGTGAAGTTATATGGGCAAAGTTCAACCGAAGACCCTGGTGGCCTTGTGAGATGACAGTTGACCCAGTACAGGGAACCTACCACAAAATGAAAGGTAGGCCCTGGTCCTGGGTATTATTTTAACAAGCCATTGTTTGGTTTGAACTGATCTTGTTGAACAGATTTGCACTACCTTGGATGTGTTATATTTCACAATCCACTTTACATTGAAATTGACACATCTCTCTTGCTAAATGTATTTTATACCTGTGATAAAGGTTAAATTAATATGAAATCTACAAACACTAATACCTAGTGGCCCTGGTCCTTTGCTCCTGTGTGGTGATGTTTCAGAGCCCAGTGATAGGCCTTGTCGGCAGTACCACATCAGGACCTTTGGGGAGCCTGTCGAACTGGCCTGGGTCGCAGGGAAAGCTACACACACTTTTCATGGAGGCTTTGAGTTTGAACAGCTCCCCTTGATACGCAGGAGAGGAAGGCAAAGAGACAAAGACTACAAATACACTGTAATTATTCATGTGAATCAAACATGTGGCACAGCTTTTTTGTATGTTGGACAATAATCAATCATGTTTTACCTGAATGTATCTAAAATACAAATATTTGTGATTACAAAAACACTTTATTTTCCTCCATAGATACCCAAGCGTTTTAAGGCGTCTTGGAAAACCAGTGTGGCTGAGGCAGAAGCTGTCCTCCCAGAGCGGCCCAAAATGGTTTCCTCTATACCTGACTCCATAGATACAACCCTCCATGATGGGTTCACATCAGAGAATGAGGACAAGGCCCTTCCAATTCCCCCTTCCTCCATTCCATCCGCCTCTATACCCCCTGCACCAAGTCACTTAACAAACGGAACTGTGTCACCACAAAGTAAACCTTCCTCAACGAAAGGAAGCATTTCCAAGAAGCCTCAGAGGAAGAAGAAGCAAAGTAAAGCATCAAAAGCTAAAAATGAGTTCTTCAACACCAAAACATTTGGCAGCACTGACAAGCCAGAGGGGGACATAGAAGAATGTCCATATTCTGACCTAGACTCTATCCCCAATATTTTGTGTCCTAAAACACTTGAGCGTCAATCCAAGCCCTCTCAGACTCATCCCTCAGTTCCAGAAGTAAAAGAAGTGAAGAAGCAGCCTGAAGTCCAAACTGGCCTGTGGTTCAGCAAACCAGGAAAAGACAGGCGACTCAACACTACCACCTCCATATCTAAACACAGTTCCTTTAGCAAGGGCCTCTGCAAGAAAAAGACTCAAACTGCAGCTGCTGTCAACAGAAAGACTCAAGTGTCCAGTGTGGCAATCAAATTATGCTCTAGTGATCAGTTGAAGACTCCAGTGTCCAGTGTAATAGTCAAAGAACGCCCTGCTGATCAGTCGAAGACTCCAGCGTCCAATGCAACAGTCCAAGAAATGACTGGTGATCAGTTTAATACTCCAATCTTAAGTGTGCCCAAGCTCTCTGATCAGTCGAAGGCCCTGGGCAAGCAGCCTGCGCATCTGCCCGCTAGCAACCACCTGATGACCAGAGCACTTAAAGCTATGGAGGAAGCTGAGCGGAAGGTCTCATCTTCCACAAACACTACCTCTGATAAACCAGAGACCAAAACAGACTGTTATACAGAGGACAAATCTTCAATGGTTGACAACGATAATCAGATCACAGCTTTGCCAAATTGCTCCTCATCAAAGTTCACCAGGTCGAAGGACTTTGAGGCAGAGGTTAAGACGGAAAATGAGGGCATCTTGGTATCCCAGATGCCTGTGGACTTCATACCTCTAACTTCTGGGAAGGCAAAGAAAGAGAACTGTCTGTCTCACATCTCCTCCTGTTCCTCTCCCTCGCCATGCTTCTCTCCCATGGACGCCTTCAAAGACATCAAAGAGTTATCCTTCAAGTCCCTGGAATCAAGTGATGGTGATGGAAAACATGTGTCTTTTAAACCAAACACTAACTACAAGTTCAGTACTATCCTCATGCTGCTGAAGGACATGCATGATACCAGGGAGAAAGATGGTACACCCTTGGAGCTGGAAATCGGACCACCTAGTGCCCATGTAAAAGAGGAGCCATCAGTGAGTCCACCCTTACTGGGAGAGGAGTCACTCGGTCAAGGCCCTAGTCTCAGTAAAAGTCAACAGGGCAAGGGCAAAACAAAGGCCAAACCCAAGCTCAAGTCTTCTCTGAAAGTAGAAACCCCACAACTTGAAGGCAGCACAAACCAGGACTTGAAAAGGCCAGCCAAAAAGAGAGGCTTGTCTGGGACTAAAAATAAACGTAATGGAAAAGTGCCTTGTGGTAAGAGGTCTCCTGGACCTGGCTACCTTGAGATGGAGACCTCACACCACCTTCCGAGCAATGCTTGGCAGAAGGTTGACCAGGATTCAGGAACATTAGGGGGGGTGGGGGAGGGCTGCAGTGGGCTAACGAATGAGAGACTACAGAACATGGTGCGTTTGGAGCAGGGTGGTGCAGACCCATCGGTGTCCTTTCAGACAAAGACAGGGTTGGACCAGCAGACTATCCCTGCCACCAATACTGCAAACACTACACCAAGAACTGGGGAACGCCTGGAGGCTCCCACAGGTAAGGAAGAGGGTTTTTTTCTTGGTTTGACAGAATGGTATCCCAAAGGAGATTATTACTGATCAATGCATTGACTTTGCTTCAGGAATTATACCATAAGGAAAATATCAAAAGCTATGAAGTAAAAGCGTCCAATTCAGGGCCATGATGCCTAATTTTCTGTAGATCATGACATTTCATGGTTTTTACATGTATTCATACTTTTTGCACACTTGTCCTCCATCAGCACATAAACGAATTAGAAAACCAAGCAAAAGACTCATAGAATGGACAGAAGATTATGATCAGATATTCTCCACAAGGAAGAAACAGAAAAAGGCCCTCCAGTCTTTGGGAAAGGTAGCTCACTCAAACATACAGTATTACATCTCTTGGATTTTCAGGGTTTTGTACCAGCTTTATACCCTCTTCATGTTTTTCCAGGTGGCACAGTCCAACAGCAACAAACCATATCCCGTACCATCAGGGAAAACCACACATGACCACGCCCCTCTGAACCCACTTCCTGAACCATCCAAGACTCTGAATGGACAAGTCCCTCCCCCAATAGAGAACACTCCTCCTCAGGATGCACCTATCCTGTCCATAGATACTCTAACCCTGCCTCCTGAAGCAGACCCTTCGCTGTTGTGCGACAGTCTGACAAAGAATGTTGGTGAGAAACCATTAACCAACATTAACATTTTTACATGTTTAGTCATTTAGCAGACGCTCTTATCCAGAGCGACTTACAGTTAGTGAGTACATACATTATTTTTTTTTTTTTCATACTGGCCCCCCGTGGGAATGAAACCCACAACCCTGGTGTTGCAAACGCCATGCTCTACCAACTGAGCTACATCCCTTTAACACATCAAATGTATACTTTGGTTGATTTGCAAAAAATTACAAAATGTTTTTGCTAAGCAATGTACCGTGAAAGCAAGGAATGTTTTTATTACATTACTCCTCTGTAGTAGGGGTCTTAGATCCTAAACACCTCATTATCCCAGATGTGTGTAAAGGTCCATAATAACACTGTCCTGTGGCAGGTGACGTTCCTTACTTGGAAACCATCCGTAAGAGACAGAGGAAACCCACTCTGAAGATTCTGGAATACTCGGAGGCTGCCACAATCCCAAAGAAGAAGGTATGGAGGGGTTAGGGAATGGTTGTGCTTTGTTCATTAAAGGGACAATCTGCAGTTCAAACAACAACAAAGTGCAGACCCCGCCACCTTTTTGGGTAAAGAGCTTAGGGATGGAGCTGGAGAAATGTAACCACTAAATTCATAGATGGGTCTATGGATGCAAGGACTGACCATCTATGAGATCAAAATGATAGTTTTAACCATGTTTTGAAGCTATACAGTGTTTGTTTACATTTGTGAAAAATGTTATAGTGAAAAATGTTATATTTTGGGTCTGAATGGGTTAGACAGTTGAACTAAGCTCATGAGGCATTTATACATTACATTCTTCAAGAATAAATTGCTATATATAATTAATTTTAAAGTTAAAAGAAAAATGTAACAATTGCAGATTGCCCCTTTAAGGATTTTTGTATCTGATGGGTCCATTGATTTTCACAGTAATGAAGGCCTTACAGCAGGGGTTGACTGGTTAATTATGTATTACAGGTCAAGTCCCTGAACTCATCAAGCCATGCTGTTCATTCAGGTCAGTCTACACAGGAAGGATCTCCCTCAAACTGTCCGCATTACACAGTTCTTAAGTGACTTTCCCACTTTTGTGTAAGATGAGTACGGAAAAAGCATTAAGAAATCTAAGGCTAAACACTGTTTGTCACAAGGCTTTGTGATACTGCTTTCATTTACCTCATGATTGTCAATTCAGAGGGTTGATTGGTCTTGGGGTCAAAGTTGACTTGACCGTTTTTTCCCCCAGGCTCTGGACAACACTCCTTTAAATCAAAGATCAAGCAACCAATGACATCCACCCCTGCATCCTCCATGCCGTTGCCCTGCACGCCTGCACCCTGCCCCCAGACCCCGAATTGCCTGGCGAGGGGGTCAGACTTCGACCTCACCACGCCCCCCACTAAGGACACTGATCTCCATGACGATGGGCGGGACACCATAGACCCAGAGATCAGACAAGAGGTTAAATCTGCAGCTTTATTTTATGGTTCATACATTTTACCTGATAATAACATAGAAATTATATGGTAAAATTGTAAAAACACAATAATTATCAAATTAAAAAAAACACTAAAACAAGCACCAATACGTACCTGAAAGAAATGTTTCTGCATCGAATAGTGTTACGGCATGATTGCTTGCAATGTGGCTTTTGGTGCTTGAACTGTCCTGCTGATTTTCATCTTCTTTGCTCCTCAGGGTTTTACATCCAGTTTCGATGGCAGCTTTTCATCCATGAGGGAGGAGTCTTCACTGTGTGATGACACACTCTTCCCCAATAAGAAGATCATAGGGGACAGAGGGGGCGCGGCCACATTGAAGGAGAATGTGTGTCAGGTGAGTAGGCCTCACATCACCAATGTAAGAGTAGTTACCTTATGTTTTTTTAACCCTTTGACATGTGGTCCCTGCAGCATACGCTCAAACCTGTGTGATTAGAAAGCTTATTTTGAACGTCCAGTTTCGATTGACGCAATCACTTCCATTCAATTACAGAAGTTTACTTCAAAGATGAGAGAACCACTCCTTCACCTCATTATAACATCTTTGGTCTGACAGACGTTTACGTGACACCCAGAATGCATTGTATAATGTCAACAAACATAGTGCTACACATAGCTGGCAAATAGCTTAGCATTAGCTCATCATACAACCTTCAAAAAAGTATTTTACACACATCATAGGTGTCCATTACAATCTATGCAATAATCGGAATGCATTATTTGTCACCAGTACATGAAAACGTGAATAAAACTGTAAATACATTATGCTCCATATATACTGTACATACACTACCAGTCAAAAGTTTGGACACACCTACTCATTCAAGGGTTTTATTTTTCACTGTTTTTTACATTGTAGAATAATAGTGAAGATATCAAAACTATGAAATAGCACATATGGAATCATGTAGTAACCAAAAAAGTGTTAAACAAATCAAAATATATGTAATATTTTAGATTCTTCAAAGTAGCCACCCTTTGCCTTGATGACAGCTTTGCACACTCTTGGCATTCTCTCAGCCAACTTCATGAGGTAGTCACCTGGAATGCATTTCAATTAACAGGTGTGCCTTCCTAAAATATAATTTGTGGAATTTATTTCCTTCTTAATGCGTTTGAACCAATCAGTTGTATTGTGACAAGGAGATAGCCCTATTTGGTAAAAGACCAAGTCCATATTATGGCAAGAACAGCTCAAATAAGAAAAGAGAAATGACAGTCCAACATTACTTTAAGACATGGAGGTCAGTCAATACGGAACATTTCAAGAACTTTGAAAGTTTCTTCAAGTGCAGTCGCAAAATCCATCAAGTGCAATGATGAAACTGGCTCTCATGAGGACCACCACAGGAATTAAAGATCCAGAGTTACCTCTGCTGCAGAGTTACCAGCTTCAGAAATTGCAGCCCAAATAAATGCTTCATAGAGTTCAAGTAACAGACACATCTCAACATCAACTGTTCAGAGGAGACTGTATGAATCAGGCCTTCATGGTCGATTTGCTGCAAAGAAACCACTACTAAAGGACACCAATAATAAGAAGAGACTTGCTTGGGCCAAGAAACACGAGCAATGGACATTAGACCAGTGGAAATTTGTCCTTTGGTCTGGAGTCCAAATTTGAGATTTTTGGTTCCAACCGCCGTGTCGTGTGGGTGAACGGATGATCTCCGCATGTGTATTTCCCACCGTAAAGCATGTAGGAGGAGGTGTTATGGTGTGGGGGTGCTTTGCTGGTGACAATGTCTGTGATTTATTTAGAATTGAAGACACACTTAACCAGCATGGCTACGACAGCATTCTGCAGTGATACGCCATCCCATCTGGTTTGGGCTTAGTGGCACTATCATTTGTTTTTCAACAGGACAATGACCCCACACACCTCCAGGCGGTGTAAGGGCTATTTTACCAAGAAGGAGAGTGATGGAGTGCTGCGTCAGATGACCTGGCCTCCACAATCCCCCGACCTCAACCAAATTGAGATGGTTTGGGATGAGTCAGACCGCAGAGTGAAGGAAAAGCAGGCAACAAGTTCTCAGCATATGTGGGAACTCCTTCAAGACTTTTGGAAAAGCATTCCAGGTGAAGCTGGTTGAGAGAATGCCAAGAGTGTGCAAAGCTGTCATCAAGACAAAGAGTGGCTATTTGAAGAAGCTCAAATATAACATATATTTTGATTTGTTTAACACTTTTTTGGTTACCACATGATTCCATATGTGTTGTTTCATAGTTTTGATGTCTTCACTATTATTCTACAATGTAGAAAATAGTTAAAATAAAGAAAAACCCTTGAATGAGTGGGTGTGTCCAAACATTTGACTGGTACTGTACATACTGTATGCTACAGTGGAAACGACAACACAATATACAGAAAATAAGTCACTTACTTTGAAAGGAATGCACACATGTCCAAAGTTATTATTTGTTAGGAATTCAACAATGAAGGCAATGCGAGCGCCAGCCAGAAAATGTGCCAGGGGGAAAAAGTTTGTGCAAGACAGCGCAAATGTCTGCATACTTGATCTGCGTAAACACTGGGGAAGTGCTTGGGCTCTCCTTGAAGAAGTTAGACCAGCTCAGTAAAGCCTCAAACATAAATTGTCCGGAACAGTGAAATGGGCTTGTCACGAATTCAGCCGAGGCTGCCCCTCCTCCTTGCTCGGGCAGGTTTCGTCGTTCGTCGTCACCGGCTTACTAGCCACTACCGCTCCATTTATCATCACTCCATTTGTCTTGTCTTGTCTTGTCAATCACACACACACCTGGTACTCATTCCCTCATTAGTCTGTGTATAAGTGTTCCCTCTGCCGCCTTGTCCTTTGTGAGTGATTGTTCATTGTGAGAGTGAGTAGCTCGGTTGAGCTACTCTTTCCTTGTATGTAGCCAAGTAGAATTTTTCCCTTGTGCTAGTTTCGTTTTGACGCTTGCTGCGCTTTATTCATGTACACTGAATAAACTCTGGATTTCTGTGTTTTCCCTCCTGCGCCTGACTCCGTCATTCACACCTCATCACAGGGCTACTTCTACGTGAATTAATGAGGAGGCGGAACACACCTCAATTCAAATTGTTGTTAGAAAATAAAACCTATTAGAAAATAATTTGAAATTTACAAGTTGAAACATAGCCTACAGATAATTAGCAGGCAGCACGGGTTAACTGTCGCATTGCGTAACAATCACATTTTTGAATGTGCATAAAACAACTCACGCTGGGGTGACCGTTAGAGATATTTGGAACTCACACGTGAAAAGGTTAAAGTGCTATAAGTGATTTTGGAATCTATTTCCTCTTTGCCCATCAGAAAGTTTCAGATAGCTGTGTACATGTTGTTCTAATGTTGTGTAAACCTTTATGGACTGTATGGTAGGTATGTGAGAAGACTGGGGAGCTTCTGCTGTGTGAAGGCCAGTGTTGTGGGGCCTTCCACCTCCAGTGTATCGGCCTCATAGAGCCTCCTAAAGGGAAGTTTGTCTGCCAGGAGTGCAAGTCTGGTGGGTCAAGCACATATTCTGTAAAAACACAACCACTTTATCCTCATTAACACGTTTTTATGCCTCATTCCTGCTCAGACAAAATTGTGGAAAGACTATTATTAGTTGCATTTAAAGTTATCAGTGTGCTATCTGATTGTATCACGCAATTTTGCTGATTCTCTCCCCTCAGTCATCCTCTCATCCTAACGTCCACCATTCTCTCTGGCTTGTAAAAGCAAATCAGTTTATTAAACTTGATGTGTTTGTTGCTAGGTGTCCACACCTGTTTTGGGTGTAAGAAGCCAGGGGAGGACGTGAGGCGCTGTATGATTCCAGTGTGTGGGAAGTTCTACCATGGAGAGTGTATCGCCAACCACGCTCCCGTTGCCCCTCTGCACCGGGGCTTCCGCTGCTCCCTCCACGTCTGTCTGTCTTGCTTCATCACTAACCCTGTCAACCCCTCCGTCCCCAAAGGTGTGTGCTGCTCTGCTCCACCCAGCACAGTTCAGTTTCATTCGATTTTATGCAAATCTGCTTAATTGCAATCACCTTACCCTGGTAACTCTACAGGAGAAAGGGATGACGTTGGAGTTGGAAAACTGAAAAATTTTAGCAAAATATATGTATATATATTTTTTGTACAAGAAATTCAGTTAGTTCAATTCGACGCCATGATAGAAAGACCAACTACTTGAAATGAGCTGTGGGAAGTAAATATATGTATACCAGATATTCTAACTAACAGCTCATTGTGCCTCTGTCTCCCCTGTGTTGTGTGTCCTGTAGGTCGTCTGATGCGCTGTGTGCGTTGCCCCGTGGCGTACCATGCCAATGATTACTGCATGGCAGCGGGCAGTGTGGTCCTGGCCAACAACAGTTTCCTGTGTCCCAACCACTTCACCCCCCGCAAGGGAGTCCGCAACCATGAACACGTCAACGTCAGCTGGTGCTTTGTCTGCTCTGAAGGTACGCCGGCCTCCACATATGTTGGGTTGTTAGAGTCCGATATGCATAGATACACATATGCATTACATGATCAGGGTCCAATTTCCTCCGAACACATGATCAGAGTTCGTATGTACTAGAGCCCAGTTACATCTCTGTTTACTCATGTGAGTTTTCAATCCCATAGACCAGTTCAGTAGACAAACTGTTATTCCTCTCCCCTGCTCCAGGGGGCAGTCTGCTGTGCTGTGAGTCGTGTCCTGCTGCCTTCCACCGGGAGTGTCTGAACATCGACATGCCCGAGGGCAGCTGGTTCTGTAACGACTGCCAGGCCGGGAAGAAGCCCCACTATAAGGACATCCTGTGGGTCAAAGTGGGCCGGTACAGGTCAGTACAGCCGCCTGGGTACCAACCTCACTGGCTCACCATTGGTTTGGCAAAACAACAACAAGTTGGCTAAAGCAGAAACAGATTGGCATCCAGGATATTAGTAATAGTCCTCCCCTACCTAAACCACATTCCTCATGCTAAAGTATCCTATAGGTGTTCTGACATTACAAAACAACAAAGGTACTGAGAACCGAAATGCACCTGCATTTCTCTTCACAATAGGGCAGTGGTTGCAAATGGTAGTGGTTTTTCTGCCATGGCCCATTTTCTTTTCTCATTCATATCGTCTTTTCCCTTTCTATCTTCTGTCTAGGTGGTGGCCTGCGGAGGTCAACCATCCCAAGAACATTCCGGAGAACATCCTACGTGTGAGGCACGACGTAGGAGAGTTCCCTGTGCACTTCTTTGGCTCCAACGACTACCTGTGGACCTACCAAGCCAGAGTCTTCCCCTACATGGACGTAGACACCAACAACAAGGAGAAGATGGGGAAGGGTGTAGACGCCATCTACAAGAAAGGTATTCACACCAACTTTGATTGGCAGTAGAGGAAATTTGAACGGGAGGCTTGAGCTGTGCAAGTGTTTGTAGTGTGGGTGTGTACAGAGAGTAAGAGTGTGTTGTCGAAATGAATTGTGACAAGGTTGTTGTTGACTTAATGTTAATCTTTCCCCAGCTTTGGAGGAAGCTGCTAGCAGGTTTCTGGAACTGCAGGCAGAGAAAGAACTGAGACAGCTTCAGGAGGACAGGAGAAATGACAAGAAACCCCCTCCATACAGACACATCAAGGTACCACAACTGCCACACCTCTTGCCACACAAAATGTATACATTACAGGCCAATTGCAGTCAAAAACATGACTTTCCTGCGTTTTATATACACTGAGTGTACAAAACATTAGGAACACCTTCCTAATATTGATTTGAACCCGCTTTTGCCCTCAGAACAGCCTCAATTCATTGGGGCATGGACTCTACAAGGTGTCAAAAGTGTTCCACAGGGATGTTGGCCCATGTTGACTCCAATGCTTCCCACAGTTGTGTCAAGTTGGCTGGATGTCCTTTGGGTGGTGGACCATTCTTGATACACACAGGAAACTGTTGAGCGTGTAAAACCCAGCAGCGTTGCAGTTCTTGACACACTTAAACCGGTGCGCCTGGCACCTACTACCATACCCCGTTCAAAGGCACATCAATATTTTGTCTTGCCCATTCACCCTCTGAATGGCACACATTCACAATCCATGTCTCAAGGCTTAAAAATACTTATTTAACCTGTCTCCTCCCCTTCATCTACACTGATTGAAGTGGATTTAACAGGTGACATCAATAAAGTATCATAGCTTTCACCTGGATTCAGTTGGTCAGTCTATTTCATGGAAACAGCAGGTATTCCTAATGTTTTGTATACTCAGTGTATATTTCCACTATGAGGTTGAAATAATACTGTAAAATTGTGAAAATTATAATAATGCCCTTTTAGTGTAAAAGCAGTTTGATAAGACTGCCTGAAATTTTAGCCTGTTTGGGTGGGATGAAGTTTTGGCCTGCCTAGTGACATCACCAGGCGATAAATTAGTTAATAGACCAATAAGAAAGAGAGTTCCAAACCTCTCTGCCAATAACAGCTAGTTTTCAGTTTTCCCTTCCCCACTCAGACAACTCCCAGACATTCCTAGCAAAAGTCTTGCTTGAGAAATTGCACTTTGCTAAGAAGCTATTTTTGTACATTTTTGACTATTTTAATTGAAAACAATCACAGTAAGGTACTTAATTGTTACCCAGAAATGATTTGATATTGAGATAAAAAAAAGTCTGCGTTGAACCTTTAACTTTCAGTTTTCAGTTGCAGAAGTATTACCACATCCCCTTGACAACTTCATTCCTCTGAAGTCACTCTCCTAACCCCTCAGGTGAATCGGCCAATCGGGAAGGTGCAGTTCATCACGGCCGACCTATCAGAGATCCCGTGCTGTAACTGCAAGGCATCGGACGAGAACCCGTGTGGCATTGACTCTGAGTGTATTAACCGCATGCTGATGTACGAGTGCCACCCCCAGGTGTGCCCGGCGGGCGAGGGCTGCCAGAACCAGGCCTTCAGCAAGCGCCAGTATAGCCAGGTGGAGATCTTCAGGACACTGGCACGAGGCTGGGGCCTCCGCTGTGCCCATGACATCAAGAAGGTAATGGTGGAGGTTTTACCATGAATCATGTAACGTAGAGATCAATGTGCCACCATGAAACTGTATCCAATGGGGCTAAAACTATATTTTCAAAAAGCTATGGATTTGAAAGGGGGCTTTGTTTGATTCCTCTTCTATCCAGACAGATTTCAGTCCCAGCATACTTTTTTTCTAGAAAGTGTAAGCAATATTTTGGATGTTAAATGGCATATTATTATTATTATTAAAGGAATCCTCTCCATGTAAAGATCAAGTATAATGACTTTTGAAATGGTAATCAGTGCTATGTTAATTGAATCATCAAACCATAAAGCGACGAAGCCCTGTCATCAATAGCCATCATGGCTTTGAAACATTGATTTGCACAAATCTATCTGCTATGATCTTTACATGTAAATTACCCTTTCAAAAGTCAGTTAGACCCAATGGAGCTCTCAGATGAATCCAAGAGTCCAATCCAAGAGTACTTCTTTGAGTCCAATCCAAGAGTACTTCTTTGAGTAGTAGAATGATTGGTAGTAGAATGAGTGTTCCACTGTATCTCTCCTGCTGATGGTCATGGTTGTGTGTTCTTAGGGGGAGTTTGTGAATGAGTACGTAGGAGAGGTGATCGATGAGGAGGAGTGTCGGGTCAGGATCAAACATGCCCAGGATAACGACATCTGTAACTTCTATATGCTGACTCTGGACAAGGTGGGGCTCAGGAGTCAGGATTTAAGAGCTCTCATGGGACTGTCTCTTGGCCTGAAGTTATCTCTGTAATCTTATGACCGTTAACCACGATTTCTGTAACTAGCTACAGGAAGTTGTCATGGGTTATTAATATTGGTTACGTTATTGGTTATTATCACTACTATTGACCATTTTTGGTTTCTTGTTCTCTTAGATGTTAAGTCCCCTATATAGATTCTGGACCGGTTCTGGACAGATTCTGACCGATATTTATATGAACAACGCGCTCTGTGAACGGCGTTACATCAATTGCCGTACACTCCCTAAAAGCGCTGGTTGTCCTGATTCATATGCGCTATTGCAAGCGCAGCTGTGAGTTTCACAGACACAGGAAATCGGGTATTTGCATAGGGAGCGACACGTCACATTTTCTGTGCCTGTGAATCTCACAGCTGTGCTTGCAATAGCACATATAAAATGGGAAAGTGAAGCTGATGTAACAACAGTGGTTTCGTCTCGCTGTGATGTTCTCAGGTGGATTTATAGCTCTGAAATTGTAACGAGTCTGCACACATTTGAATGGTGTCTCAACGCCGCTCAGAGGACGTTTGACAGAAAAGCTCTGTCGTCAGCAATATGAAACAGTGCCAATATAGTACTGTCACTAAGTATGATCATATTTATTTTACAGTTATAAGAAAGGTGAAATCGTATAGTAAGTCATTTATAATTTGATTGTTACTATATTTAGAAAGCATTTAAGTCCTTTCAAGCCCTATTGCTCCACTTTTGTTGAATAGGGGAAAAAATCATAATACAGAGCTGCCAACTCTCACGCATTGGCCCCTCTTCTCACGCTCTCACCGCACACCTCTTATATTTCACGCATTGAAAAGTACTGCTTTTATGTAGTCCATTGTATAGTCAGCGTGTTAACCTTTCAACTGTGCTCCAAATCGTTTTGAAATCGGAGCATCTGCGCCTTCAATTTAACATCATCAAGAGCGGAACCTCTATCATTGGCCTGTCATGTCACAGCACTGTGAACCGCGGCACATTGAAGTATATGATTGGTCTAGATATGTAAGCGATCAAGGGGGTTGGTTGCATGTTTTAAAGATACGCCCCTCAAGATTAGTTTAAAAAGAGCAGCACGGTAGCGCTGTTTTATGTACAATGTTGTCAACAAAATGAGGGTGCTGTTACTCTGGTCCCTACTGCAGAATGCAGCCTTCTGACAGCATGTACTAAAGTCGATTTAATCCACACTTGCATTAGTCCCCTCGTTTGGTGATTGGCATTTAGGCTACAAGCCAATTTATGCTTTATCCATATATATATATATAAAAATATTTTTTTTACATTTTTTGGTCATTTAGCAGACGCTCTTATCCAGAGCGACTTACAGTTAGTGAGTGCATACATTTTCATACTGGCCCCCCGTGGGAAACGAACCCACAACCCTGGCGTTGCAAGCGCCATGCTCTACAATGTGGTCGGAGGCTCCGTATGGATGGTGTAACGCAATTGTGGAGCCTCTGGAGACATGCAGAGGCCAAATTGTGCTCCATACAGCATTGCTGTGCGACTCCCAAATTCAGTAACAATGCGGGGGGTTCCTTATAGCTCAGTATAGCTCCGCATTGACATGATTGGTTGACGGTAGTTGGGTGCGGGAGGTCCTGTATAAACACAAACTCCCTTCCTTGACAACTTCCTTGACACAGCTCTGCTCAACAGATCTGTGCTGCTACGCGAAGCGCAAGAAGTATGAATGCCCTGACTTCTGCAGAGGCCGTATCGCCATAATGCTGCACTGCCAATGCAGAGGCCAGATTGACAACGAAAAGGCAGCAGACAGTCCTACAGTATGTTTTATCAGGGAAGTTTGGTAGGGGCAGATTTATGTCATCTTGTCTTCAGGAGATTTTATTATCTACAGTATTTACTTGATTTAGTCTAATCAGTGGAACAATTGTCATTCTTAACAATGGGCTAAAATATAGGGTAATTAGTGTGCTTGTCAGCAAGAACACTACTGTTATTCCCCACACTTATTTTATTATAACACTTCTTCCCAATTTTGCCAGTGGAATCACATATTTGAAATCTGATATGACTACTTGTGTCTTTTGAAAATGAATTGTACAAGGCTATGTATTAATGCAGCCATTCATGGACAGTTTTCAATAAGTCATACAAATAAGCATTGGATATTAAATGCTCCAGGAATCAAATGTAATTTGTCACGTTAGTATTGTGCACATGCTAGGCAGAGATGGTAGGGGGACACAACTCAAACACATCATATTTTGTCTATGTACAGTAAGATGATGGCAAGGATCTTCAACTAGTAGGCATAAACCACCTGAATATTGATATTCATTAAAGAGATAGTTCACCCAAATGACAAAATGTTTGTGTCCTTACCTTGAAAGCAGTCTATGGACAAGGAGACTGCAATCTATGATTTGGTTACCCACTGCCATCAACCATTAATATTAACAATTCCTGTGCAGAGCCTTGGTGAAGTGGTAACACTACAACATTCCACCTGAGAACAGGGCTCAATCCCTTTTTCGAACCTGCCCACTGTTTCTAGAATGTGCCTGTCTCCCTATCTCACTTCATTACTGTCTGAATAAAGTGTCAAACCAACTACAAATATGTTTACAAAAAAATATCAGCATACTTTAAATTTCATCCCCCCAAAATCTCAAAGTAACAAAGTCATCGAATTGAGTGTTCATTTAATGTTGAAAGCATCCTGAATACACCTCACCTGTGGTTTTTATGTTTAACTTTTCCACCCTGGTCATAGGCCTAAGCCATGTCAAAATACGTAGAATTGCAGGAAATTAGTTTTAAACAGTAACATTTTCCTGGGGGAGGACACCCAGTTCCCCATCTAGGGGTTGTGCTAGTGGGCAATGAAATTCACATAGCAAAACCTCACTCCAAGCTTTCTTCAAAAGTTGGCAGCCCTGTCATATTTATGATTTTTCATAATCCATAATATTTGTACTATGTACTTGAGCTTATGTCCTCAAACGTGAGTACACCTCAGCTATTAATTTGTGAACAATTACCAGAGGGGTGAGTTTTACACCTTTCTAAAACTATGCAGCATTACCATTAATGTTTATGGCCATCTAATGAAAAATATTTACTTTTGAGTATGTCTATTTAGGCAGAAATCTACATTTTTCCCTATCATTCAAGAGAGGGGATTATTTTGGTTTACTGTATTTCATCTCAGAAAATTGCATCTGCTTTGCATGGTAACACAAAGACACCCAAAAGTAATGATGATTGAACAGTGTTGTCCATGTCGGTGTGTTGATCAGGATCGGATCATTGATGCCGGGCCGAAGGGGAACCAGGCCCGCTTCATGAACCACAGCTGCAGGCCCAACTGTGAGACCCAGAAGTGGACGGTGAATGGAGATACACGTGTGGGGCTCTTCACTCTCATAGATGTCCCTGCAGGTGAGCGGCGCTTTGGCTTAAGGATTTGGTGCTTTATTACAGCTTTGGTTTTTGGCAACACTTTTCATTATATAGGCATTGGCAGGAGAACTACACTACATGACCAAAAGTATGTGGACACCTGCTGCTCGAACATCTCATTCCAAAATCATGTGCATTAATATGGAGTTGGTCCCCCTTTTGGTGCTATAACAGCCTCCACTCTTCTGGGAAGGCTTTCCACTCGATGTTGGAACATTGCTGCAGGGACTTGCTTCCATTCAGCCACAAGAGCATTAGTGAGGCCAGGCACTGATGTTGGGCGATTAGGCCTGGCTCGCAGTCGGTGTTCCAATTCATCCCAAAGTTGTTCGATAGGGTTGAGGTCAGGGCTCTGTGCAGGCCAGTCGAGTTCTTCCACACCGATCTTGACAAACCATTTCTGTATGGACCTCGCTTTGTGCATGGGGGCATTGCCATGCTGAAACAGGAAAGGGCCTTCCCCAAACTGTTGCCACAAAGTTGGAAGCACAGAATCGTCTAGAATGTAATTGTATGCTGTAGCGTTAAGATTTCCCTTCACTGGAACTAAGGGTCCTAGCCCGAACCATGAAAAACAGCCCCAGACCATTATTCTTCCTCCACCAAACTTTACAGTTGGCACTATGCATTCAGGCAGGTAGTGTTCTCCTGGCATCCGCCAAACCAAGATTCGTCCATCGGACTGCCAGATGGTGAAACGTGATTCCACTGCGATCTTTACACCACTCCAGCCGACGCTTGGCATTGCGCATGGTGATCTTAGGCTTGTGTGCGGCTGCTCGTCAATGGAAACCCATTTCATGAAGCTCCCGACGAACAGTTCTTGTGCTGACGTTGCTTCCAGAGGCAGTTTGAAACACGGTAGTGAGTGTTGCAACCGAGGACAGACGAGTTTTACGGCTTCGCGCTTCAGCGCTCGGCGGTCCCGTTCTGTGAGCTTGTGTGTGGCCTACCACTTCGCGGCAGAGCTGTTGTTGCTCCTAGATGTTTCCACTTCACAATAACAGCACTTACAGTTGACTGGGGCAGCTCTAGCAGGGCAGAAATTTGACGAACTGATTTGTTGTAAAGGTGGCATCCTATGACGGTGCCACGTTGAAAGTCACTGAGCTCTTCTGTAAGGCCATTCTACTGCCAATGTTTGTCTATAGAGATTGCATGGCTGTGTGCTCGATTTTATACACCTGTCAGCAACGGGTGTGGTTGAAATAGCCGAATCCACTAATTTGAAGGGGTGTCCACATACTTTTCCATATATAGTGTATAAGGGTAGCATTGCACCAGGTATGGAAGAAAGGGAAGTTGCATAATATTTACCACTGTGAGGGCAAAGTAGTCCATAAGTAGTATATTTACAGTACCACGTTTTTTTACACGGTAATCATATCAGCAGTTCACATCAATCTCTAATTGTGGATACTGGTTTATATCTGTCCTCTATGGGTCATTCTGTCTGTCTCCAGGCACAGAGCTGACGTTCAACTACAACCTGGAGTGTCTGGGGAATGGGAAGACTGTGTGTAAATGTGAAGCCCCAAACTGCAGCGGCTTCCTAGGAGTCCGGCCAAAGGTGAGAGGAGACACTGGAACCAGATGTTGTTATTGATGATATGATCCACAGAATGATACATCAATAGTAGAAACAATCTTGATAGCTATTTTAAAATCTCTTTCCACAAATCCAAGAGGCCCTTGATACAGTAGTCAAAATAGTAGTCATGTCAACGGGAATGAGATATTTGAATGAAAGGGCCATCTAGGAGAAAGTTTGGGTTTCTGTGTCTCTATCAACATCCTGACTCTTCGTCCTTCCCCAGAACAACCCTCCAGCAGACGACAAGGTCCGCAAGCTGAAGAAGAAGGTCCTGGCAAAACGGAAGAACAAGATGGAGGTGACCAAGGAGAGGGAGGACGAGTGCTTTAGTTGTGGGGACGGGGGACAGATTGTGTCCTGTAAGAGACCAGGCTGTCCCAAGGTCTACCACGCAGACTGTCTCAACCTCACCAAGAGGCCTGCAGGTCAGTGGCACAGTTAGATTCCTGTCAGAGGAGATGATATCGTAGTATCATAGCTTGTAGTGGTTTGTTCTGTTTCCCCTCTGTTACTGTAGGTTTGTGTGATTGGAGAATTATATACACTACTGGTCAAAAGTTTTAGAACACCTACTCATTCAAGGGTTTTTCTTTATTTTACTATTTTCTACATTGTAGAATAATAGTGAAGACATCAAAACTATGAAATAACACATATGGAATCATGTAGTAACCAAACAAGTGTTAAACAAATCAAAATATATTTTATATTTGAGATTCTTCAAATAGCCACCCTTTGCCTTGATGACAGCTTTGCACACTCTTGGCATTCTCTCAACCAGCTTCACCTGCAATGCTTTTCCAAAAGTCTTGAAGGAGTTCCCACATATGAAAAATGTATGCACTCACTAACTGTTATGTCGCTCTGGATAAGAGTGTCTGCTAAATAACTAAAATGTAAAATGTAAATATGCTGAGCACTTGTTGTTCTTTTCCTTCACTCTGCGGTCCGACTCATCCCAAGCCATCTCAATTTGGTTGAGGTCGGGGGATTGTGGAGGCCAGGTCATCTGATGCAGCATTCCATCACTCTTCTTCTTGGTAAATTAACCCTTACACAGCCTGGAGGTGTTGGGTCATTGTCCTGTTGAAAAACATATGATAGTCCCACTAAGCCCAAACCAGATCGGATGGCGTATCGCTGCAGAATGCTGTGGTAGCCATGCTGGTTAAGTGTGCCTTCAATTCTAAATAGATCACAGACAGTGTCACCAGCAAAGCACCTCCACACCATAACACCTCCTCCTCCATGCTTTACGGTGGGAAATACACATGCAGAGATCATCCGTTCACCCACACCGCATCTCACAAAGACACGGCGGTTGGAACCAAAAATCTCCAATTTGAACTCCAGACCAAAGGACACATTTCCACCGATCTAATGTCCATTGCTCGTGTTTCTTGGCCCAAGCAAGTCTCTTCTTATTATTGGTGTCCTTTAGTAGTGGTTTCTTTGCAGCAATTCGACCATGAAGGCCTGATTCACACAGTCTCTTCTGAACAGTTGATGTTGAGATGTGTCTGTTACTTGAACTCTGTGAAGCATTTATTTGGGCTGCAATTTCTGAGGCTGGTAACTCTAATGAACTTAGCAGCAGAGGTAACTCTGGGTCTTCCATTCGTGTGGCGGTCCTCATTAGAGCCAATTTCATCATAGCGCTTGATGGATTTTGCGACTGCCCTTGAAGAAACTTTCAAAGCTTTTGACATTTTCCGTATTGACTGACCTTCACGTCTTAAAGTAATGATGGACTGTCGTTTCTCTTTGCTTATTTGAGCTGTTCTTGATATAATATGGACTTCGTCTTTTACCAAATAGGGCTATCTTCTGTATACCACCCTACCTTGTCACAACACAACTGATTGGCTCAAACGCGTTAAGGAAAGAAATTCCACAAATTAACTTTTAAGAAGGAAAACATTGTTAATTGAAATGCATTCCAGGTGACTACCTCATGAAGCTGGTTGAGAGAATACCAAGCGTGTGCAAAGCTGTCATCAAGGCAAAGGGTGGCTATTTGAAGAATCTCAAATATAAAATATTTTGATTTGTCTAGCACTTTTTTGGTTACTACATGATTCCATATGTCTTATTTCATAGTTTTGATGTCTTCACTATTATTCTACAATGTAGAAAATAGTAAAAATAAAGAAAAACCCTTGAATGAGTAGGTTTTCTAAATCTTTTGACCGGTAGTGTACATGACGTATTTCATGCATTTTCATGCAAATCCCTGGTTAGCAGTCTCAGTGTGCTGATTACTTCTCTGTGTTACTGCTGATGCAGTTGTGTCTGACTGGCCTTGTCTGATATACTGTATCTATCTCCATGCTCTGTGCTGCAGGTCGGTGGGAGTGCCCGTGGCACCAGTGTGACCTGTGTGGTAAGGAGGCAGCCTCCTTTTGTGAGATGTGTCCCAGCTCTTACTGCACACTACACTGTGACGGCATGCTCTTCATCTCCAAGCTGGACGGACGGCTGTCCTGCAGCGAACACGACCCCTGTGGACCAGACCCCCTGGAGCCAGGGGAGATCAGGGAGCACCTACCTGACATCTGTGCTCTCTCACCGGGCCTGGGGGCTGGCGTAGTAATCCCTGGTGATGCTGTGGCTGGTGCTGCTGCTACAGTCACTACCACAGGGACAGGGGACCCCCAGCCTAGCCCTGGCCCTGAGTCTTTCCCCCCTCTCCCCATCTCTGGCCCCTTCTCTGGCCCCTTCTCTGGCCCCTTCTCTAGCCCCATCTCTGGCCCCATCAGCACCCCTCTACCCAGCTCTGAGGCCGCCGATAGCTCTCACCTATTCCTTCCCCAATACTCACCCATCTCTTCCTATGAAGATGAGAAAGAAGAAATGGAGGATCCTTTGGGTGATGAAGAGGGGGATAGAGAGGGGATGGAGGGAGAGTTGGAGGATGGAGAGATGGAGGGCCTTGAGTTGAAAGATGAAGAGGAGGAGGAAGAAGTAGAAGAAGAGGAGGAGGAGCAGCATGAAGAAGAAGAAGAGGAGTAAAGACATCATTTTTCAACAACTCTCTGCATGGTGGCTTATCATTCCACACAGTCCATACAGGGGGAGAAAACACGGACAATGATCAGCCAAACCACAGAATAGCCCTGTCAATCACTGTTCTTATTGTCCAGTGAGCATGTGATTGTCCTGAAGGCCTACCATAGGGGGAGAAGGGCTACCTGCTTGTTCTTGAGGGTGGGCCTGAGCTCAGCATCATGTAGATTCACTCATCTTTCTATATAAGGATCTGTTCATGTCCAGAGGATTTATAGATCTGTGCATTTGCACACCGCCTTGTTCAGTCAGACTCCCGAGAAATAGCATGATGTTACAATGGGGTCTGGAGCTGGTGTGTCGAAACGCAGTAGGATGGAGTTGCCCCTGGACACTGATTTATGGTTAAGTCTAGCGTTTTCCCCCTAATAGTCAAGGTTACGGTTTGGGATGGGTACACTGATCCTGGATCTGTGCCTAAGGGCACAATGGAGTATGATGGGAACTGTATTCATATAGCTAGGCCCATTTGGATCTCTTCATGGTTCATTGTCAAAGCTGCTGGTTTGTGGTTTTTGTTTTAGAACATGTTTACACTTCTGCACCTCCTCTTGGAGGACACAGCAACTAACTTATCTGAAGGTTCATCTTTTTCAAAGGGGAGACTGAAGAGAAGCGGGACAGTGCTGTCAAAGGCACGGATATCCCCTCATGAGCAAGTAGCCTATAGTGTGTTAGATGAGCCTGTCAAACTGTTTCTCTCTGTAGCAACTCTCCTACATGGCACAAATGAGTAATGCTGTGAAATGAGTACGTCAGCCATGGAAATTGTTAGTCACACTATCAACCAGTCATTTCATTATTGTCATTGGTGTGCAGTGCAGTCTATCCATACCGGTTTGATGATGATGATTAATCTACTGTCTCTGCTGCCCTCTGCCTTACCACAATAAATGATACAGACACGTAGACAATACACATACAATCAAATGGCTTAGTTAGTACATCTGGGTAGTACATCAAGGAGATGACTTGATATTGAACATGCCCATATCCTAATCCATGACAGCACTTTGCGTTCTCCCCTAACCCTGGCATTGTATCGCCATTAGCTCTTCTGTACTGATATCTGTTTGAGTGCAGTTGGCTGTACTGTAGGTATTTGAACACAAGCTTCCTCACATGGTGGAGCTTTGCCTAGAAACTGAACCTTCAATGTGAAAGTGCCAGTGTACTCAGCTGTTGAGTAAGCTGCTTGATGTAACCTTATCACTAAGATAGCTAGCTCTTGTGTGTGAATTATATTCTCTATGACGTATTTATGTTGACTTTTATAACGCACAAATTAAGATGGGACTGACTTATAGTAGTGGCATTGCTGTGTCTCTTTATATCATTCATACTTTCCATTTGAAAGGCTTTAGTCTAGCACTACAAAGGACAGATCTGGTCTGTTCCCCTGCTAAAATGCTTGCACTACAGTATGTATGTCTCTGCTGTATGTTTTGTCCCTCTTTAAACTTGTCTCTGTCTCGCTGTCTTTGTTGTGTCAGTTTTTAATCTCTGCTTATGCCTTTTCAATTGAGTCAATCAGTGTTGGGGTTTCTGTGAAAGAAGGGAGGTAAAGTTGATTGGCCAGAGAACAGAATTAAGTGGATTTGCCATTTCCCAGTTATGGGAATGTTGTGTTTCCATTTCTGAAGCTTGTATCATGCCTTTACCATAAATCTGCACAATAAGCAATATTTGTAGTGCTTAATATCGCCCAATTGTGTCACTTTAGTCATGTCAAAGTATCTCTAGCAGCCTTTATGTATTAAAACTTAACTGGCTTAGTTTTAATTCATCATGCATGAGATGAGGCCCATGAAAAGATATGTGCAATTTCTTACATTTGAATAGAAAGCCAACCTGTTATTTAATGATTAAAAAAATGGATGAAACGGACCTGTCCCTTCTTGTCCATATACTGTACTGTGAAAGTTGCCATGGGGCCCCCTGCTGTTGCTCCAATATACAGATACAGACACCATCATCATGGCCACCAATAGTAAATATTTATCTAACTTGAACATCTTCACCCAGGAGTTATACAGTAACTCATAATTGTATATTAATAGCACTAAAACGTCTACGAATTTTAACAACACAGATAGAAGATCTTAACTGATTAATACATCTGTTGGAATAATATTTGTGCCTGTCCTTCCAAAATCGTATGTAATATGTATATACATAACATTTGTATATAAAAGCTATATATGATGAATGGAAAAAAACTAGAATTTCAAAAATAAGTCTAGAGCCAGAGGATATGCGTTCTCTGGTCTCAGCTCGGTCATCAACCTGTCCAACAAACAGGATCACTTCAACTTTAATACACAAAATTGTGTGTTGTATACGGTTGAGTTGCTGTCAACAGATGTGGTGAATAACACTTTATATTGATGTAACAATATCACAGTCATCAACCAGATAATAGTAGGCTATGATAGCACACAGTATGAGGAGGTCGAGGGTCATTTCTGGTCACATGACGAGTAGGGAGTCGGGAGATGAAACTCCCAACTATCACTACAGTACTTTGGAACTTGTGATACGATAATGAGCCGTATATCTTTTTGCTTTAATATTTTCTGTTTCTACATTGTCAGTTACCCCTCCGTCCTCTTTGAAGGGTTCTCTGATATGTCACAAAGGAAGAGTTGGGAGGCTGTATCACTGTTTTTATACATACATTCCTACACATGTAACAAAGCTTATTTTTTTTGTTGCTGTCATGCTTCTTAGCTTTGACTCCTTTCCCTCTCTGCCTTATTCAGCCTTGTGTAATTCATCTGTTCAAAATGTAACTGTTGAGAGTTCAGGAATATCCTTCTGCCTTGTGAGGAGATTGAAAGGTGTATTTCTTTGTACATAATAAAGAAAAAGCTAAGTTGCAAATACATGATCTGAATGTTTTTCTTCAACTGTTTTGGGCATTTTGATTTGGGACAGAGGTTGTATTGCTATTTTTCCGACTGAATATTTAAGTTAAAAGCCATCTTACTGTAATAACAGTTAACAGACGATTGCATTGGGCTGGGGTAGATAATAGTCCACTTTAGAGGTGCTTATGTTATAGCAACTGGCATTAACAGTTGCTCAGTGTACTGTTAGCCTTGTTAATAAAACTGACCGCTGTGCTCACCACTGTTTCACTTCACATTTATGATATAGTGAAGTGAAACAGTATTGAGTGCAGCGGTCAGTCTGGTTGACCAGGCTAATGTACTGTAGGTGTCACAGACACACTAACAAAGAGACTTGCAGAAATCAAATCTTTATTTTTCCAATTTACAACATGCTAGAAAACATGGTCACTGGAGTCCACACAATGAATGATCATATCAGCGGACTCTGTGGACCTGTAGTGTTGGAAATATATGCATGTTATCTACAAGGCCTCAGACAGATGTGGGACTGCAAACAACCTCTGGCTTGGTGCTTGTACCCCTTGCACCTTCTAATAACGGAGTCCTGTAAAACATTCATAAAATGAACTATGTGAACTATCCCTCTTTCTCAGGCACCAGGTCTGCGTCCTTGGGGAGTGACAACATAGAAGATGCCGCGTGTGTAAACAATAATGGAGCCTGCTATACACCGCTAATGATGGATTTGTGATTCATTACTCAAGGGAAAACCAGCCTGTGGGCCCATTGCTGCTGCTTACTACTAGTCTCATACAGGCACAACTTCAGTGGGACTGACAAAAAACCTCAGTGAGGTCAAGTAAAATCAAGTAAAAATCAGCCATTAGCCAGACTCTCTCGAAAGGTCAAAGGTGTAAACATTAACAATACATTCACAGGAGCTTAAACTTCCAATTGTGTGTGAAGTAATGACAATGGTCAGCCACAGTGTGATGAAGTGTCCGTAAAACATTAAATTAGTGACTTGCTGGATATTACATTGTACATTAGCTACACATAGCTGTCTGTATATAGGGTTTCTTACTGCAACAGCATTATCTGGTACTTTTAGCCATGGCGACATAACTGTCTTTTTACAACATTTACCCATAAACTGTTTCCTGTGTTGGTGCAATCTTTGTAGTTGCATTCCATACTTTCAACTGTATCAGAGCTTATGACCCAAAGAAAATATATGTTACATGACAATAAATGTGCAGGTACATAGTATGGCAAGTCCATTTCAACCTAAAGAGTAGACACTGAAAATAGTGTTCAAGGCCCCAAAACCCACAGAATAATAATTGAAATCAAGTACTTAAAAAGCACACTCACTCAAGGCATTTGATTATGGGATAAAAGCCATACATGTCATTGGCATAATGAATTTATATAAAAGGGACAGTTCGAAATGTGTACTGGGGTGAGGTGGTCCAAAATAGGGGAGGGTTGTCTGTCTTTTGTTTGTTTTTTCTTTGGGGAGGGTAGTGTGTTTTTTCCCTGGTTTACATTCGCCCCTTTGCAGGTTTTACTATATCATTTCTTCCATCCTAGCCAAAAGTCCTCATCTGCTTCAATGCTCCTCCCCTATATCAAGTTGCTTTGGTACTTCTCTTATGCACTACGCTTTTTCCGCGCACTTACTATACCACAGGTCAATTTAGTCTACCAGTCTATCCTGCCCTCTATCCATCACTCATAGTGACAATAGCGCTAGGTGGATCATTTGTCAAGATCTACAATAGGCCAACTAGCATCATACCACACATAAAATCATTCAAAGTTGCACCAATTTTCAATATCAACAGGAGGCCAGGTGCGTAATCGCACATGAAAGAACAGTGAAGAAATGAGATGCGCAGCTCAAAAAGCTCCCGTATTTATCTCCTTCAGGGACAATTTAAATTATCCTACCTAGACTAGCCTACAACACCACAATGCAATGAATAATTGCATTATTGTTTTCAAGTAAGTACAAAATTCTACTCTAGGCTGTAAACTGCAGTGAAACTGTTATTTGAATAATGGTGCAAAAGCCCTGTGATTCAAATGTTTCATTACATTTGGATCAGTTGTGGGTCTACTTGACAGTTTATAAGGTCTAGAAAGGCAGAGTAACAGGCCAGTCTGGCTGTATTTTAAGTTCTCATACTGACATGCATTGTCTGTTGCGGATCATCATTCTCCCAAGTCGTTCTAAAATAATAATAATAATAATAATAATAATAATAATAATAATAATAATAATGTGGCCACATATGCTCCCAGCAGGCCCAGTTATTCAGGAAAGCTTAACGCGTGCTCTGCCTTGAGAGATCCATCAGAGCGGCTATTCCTCACGCACCTAGAACCTAACGCTTCAATATAGCTTAAATATTTGTCATTTAACTTTTAAAATGTATTGAATTGTATGTGTGGCATAAACACAACCAGTCACAATGTTTTAATCAAAAGTATCCTGTAGGCTACCTGCGCACGTTCATCCAAAATATAATTCCAGCATCCAAACTGTGCAGCAGCCATTTGATGAAAGGAAAGAGACATCTGTTTAACATCAAAAAGTGTAACAACAAAAAGCATAATGACATTTGGAGATTATCAAGCCAAGCCTTTGATACTGGGTAGGCCTGCAGGGTAGGGCGGGTTTGACAGTATATTTCATTGTGGTGTTGAAAACGCAAACCATGATGTTGAAGCGCCTGAAATGTGTATGCTTTGCTTATGGTGCATTGGCACAGAAACCTGTTGGTGGAAAATGTGTTGTATATATTTTATATAATTATAGCATCAAACTGTTTGAAATTAGATTTCTAGCTAGCTGAGCATTGTCTGCAGCTGGCTCTGATCGTAATGTAACGAAACAGGCAGGGAGAGTAAGCTTGTTCGTGGTGGTTGGCGAACCCTCAACCTTCTTGCCCCTGTAGCCCTGCGTGGCATCGTATGTGCCACAAAAGCATGCTGAAGTGGCAAAGTCGACATCCACATTTATAAACAGTTCTTGTTATTTGTGGACTTACTTTATTTTATGAGACCTCGAGTTGGACACCCTACCCCCCCAAGTAAACTTTGAACTGTCCCTAAAGGGCCCTACAAACTTCACGCCAACTACATAAACGCAGCGACAGAGTCGTTTTCACACATAGTTCTACGTACTTTTGTGTGGCAAAAATGTGGGAATGGATTGTATACGACGCTCCGTCGCTCTGTTTCCATGAAGTGTGTAGCGGCCTTAAGGTGGTTTGATAGACACTGAGGAAAATAACTTTTTTTTTTTTTTAAGTGGGGTTGACGTGCTATTTCCTTGTCTGCTTCATTCCGATATCACCCTTGGCAGGTCTTTTGTCCTGGGAGAGGGGAAGTCCAATCATTATGAACTCTCCTTTAAATGCAGTAGGCATTTAGCCTTCTATGGCACAACTGAAAAAAGCAACCAAAAAAAACACAGTACTGCTTGGACTCCTCTCTTTCTTTCTCTGATTTTAAATGAACGGCTCCAGGTGGGATGTGTAGCATCCATTCAACATTTCCAGGTTGGTTTTAGGGCAAGTGACCGCTGTCTACCAGTAAAGGCTTAACTGTGGCAGCAGGAATAGAAATAAGAGTCCTTCTTCTGACCCAAGTCAATACCTGTCTCTTCTGTAAAGAGAGCAGAGAAGTGTCAAACATACCCATTCAGGAAAGCAATAATTCACCACAGTGGCAATTGAGAGTGACAATTCATAATAGTAATACTACCATTGCAGACTAAATGTGCACTGACAGCTACAGTTGAAGTCAGAAGTTTACATACACCTTAGCCAAATACATTTAAACTCAGTTTCACAATTCCTGACATTTAATCCTAGTAAAAAAATCCCTGTCTTAGGTCAGTTAGGATCACCACTTTATTTTAAGAATGTGAAATGTCAGAATAATAGTAGAGAGAATGATTTATTTCAGCTTTTATTTATTTCATCACATTCCCAGTGGGTCAGAAGTTTACATACACTCAATTAGTATTTGGTTGCACTTCCTTTAAATTGTTTAACTTCGGCCAAACGTTTTGGGTAGCCTTCCACAAGCTTCCCACAATAAGTTGGGTGAATTTTGGCCCATTCCTCCTGACAGAGCTGGGGTAACTGAGTCAGGTTTGTAGGCCTCCTTGCTCGCACACGCTTTTTCAGTTCTGCCCCCCAATTTTCTATAGGATTGAGGTCAGGGCTTTGTGATGGCCACTCCAATACCTTGACTTTGTCGTCCTTAAGCCATTTTCCCACAACTTTGGAAGTATGCTTGGGGTCATTGTCCATTTGGAAGACCCATTTGTGACCAAGCTTTAACTTCCTGACTGAGGTCTTGAGATGTTGCTTCAATATATCCACATAATTTTCCTTCCTCATGATGCCATCTATTTTGTGAAGTGCAACAGTCCCTCCTGCAGCAAAGCACCCCCACAGCATGATGCTGCCACCCCCGTGCTTCACGGTTGGGATGGTGTTCTTCGGCTTGCAAGCCACCCACTTTTTCCTCCAAACATAACGATGGTCATTATGGCCAAACAGTTCTATTTTTGTTTCATCAGACCAGAGGACATTTCTCCAAAAGTACGATCTTTGTCCCAATGTGCAGTTGCAAACCGTAGTCTGGCTTTTTTATGGCGGTTTTGGAGCAGTGATTTCTTCCTTGCTGAGTGGCCTTTCAGGTTATGTCGATATAGGAATCGTTTTACTGTGGATATAGATACTTTTGTACCTGTTTCCTCCAGCATTTTCACAAGGTCCTTTGCTGTTGTTCTGGGATTGATTTGCACTTTTCGCACCAAAGTACGTTCATCTCTAGGAGACAGAACGCGTCTCCTTCCTGAGCGGTATGACGGCTGCGTGGTCCGCGTACTATTGTTTGTACAGATGAACGCGGTACCTTCAGGCGTTTGGAAATTGCTCCCACGGATGAACCAGACTTGTGGAGGTCTACAATTTTTCTTCTGAGGTCTTGGCTGATTTCTTTTGATTTTCCAATGATGTCAAGCAAAGAGGCACTGAGTCTGAAGGTAGGCCTTGAAATACATACGGGGGGCCAGTATAAAAAAATACAAAAATTAAAATTAAAATTTAAAATATGTATTCACTAACTGTAAGTCGCTCTGGATAAGAGCGTCTGCTAAATGACTAAAGTGTAAAGTGTAAAGTACACCTCCAATTGACTCAAATGATGTAAATTAGCCTATCAGAAGCTTCTAAAGCCATGACATCATTTTCTGGAATTTTCCAAGCTGTTTAAAGGCACAGTCAATTTAGTGTATGTAAACTTCTGACCCACTGGAATTGTTATACAGTGAATTATAAGTTAAATAATCTGTCTGTAAACAATTGTTGGAAAAAGTATGCACAAAGTAGATGTCCTAACCGACTTGCCAAAACTATAGTTTGTTAACAAGAAATTTGTGGAGTGGTTGAAAAACGAGTTTTAATGACTCCAACCTAAGTGTATGTAAACTTCCGACTTCAACTGTAAACTATAGAAGCAATATCTAAGAAGAGAGCCAAAGTCTCACCGGTCATGAATTGGAAGGAGATGCTGTTGAAGTCCTCTGCAACTTTTTGAAACAGCTCATCTGGAATGCGGTTAAAAGAGAATATGAGTCTACTGCTGCATTTTTCGGGAAATGTAGTTTTATGAGACTACAACCTAGATTTGAAATGAACTGACCATGAGGTGTCACTTACCCACGTTGTTGCCTGTTTTACTGGATGTTTCAAAATGCTGAGCCCCAATCTCTGTAGATGAGAATGAAAAAATAATAAACATAAATGACTCTAAAACAGCCAGTCCTTATACTAATCTGCTGGTGTAAAAATGGCTTTATAAATAGATTTGATTGATTGATGTCTGGTAAGATTAAGTGGGAGTTAGTGATGAGGATTATCATAGCAATTTACCATCAGCAAAATCCTGAACATCATGGTAGTCTACTTGCCGCAGGCCCCGGTCACTCTCAATCAGGTCAATCTTTGTGCCACACAGGTATATCTTGCAGTGCTTCAATGGAGATCATAGAGGAAATCAGTGTCATTGTGAGCAGTTACATAGGATAATATATAGGGCAATACCCATCATGGCAAGTGAGTTGTGTTTTTATGAAAGGGTCTCTAACCTCTTCACAGTTTTGCACCTCCTTCACCCAGAATCTAGCTCGCTGGAAACTGCTGGTGTCTGTCAAATCTACAGGAGCGAAAGTCACACAAATAAAGATCAATGACAACACAAAACTTGACTCAAAACTAAAACATTATGTATGTTTTCACAGTTATAAAAGTGTATTCGACCTAGAATATTCTGTATTACTATTACTAAATAGTACTGTTGCAATGTAAATCAGCCCATAAAAACCACACTAAAAACAGAACCAGCTAAAACTAAAAAAGAAAATTTAGTCATCAACTGTGGTAAATGCCTCATCAGATATTTTCCAAACTATGAAAATTCCCCCAATGAGGGAAATATGAGTGCAGGACACGTGAGCACAATTCACAACATGCAGAAACGTTAATTGCTCTCAACAAAAATTTCCTCAATTAAACATTTAGGATATAAGAACTCCATAGTAGCAAAACAAAACTGTAGACAATGTCAAAAACATAGACAATAATAAACCTAGACAGAGTGCTATTGATAGTGTCATTCCATGGGGATAAGGACTTACCATAGCAGACAATGGCAGCCCTGGCTCCTCTGTAGTAGATTCTACTCATAGCCTCATAGCGCTCTGATCCAGCCGTGTCCTGGGTTGCAGAGAAGGAATCACTTATAGTCTATGCACACATAGCCAGTAGCTACCCCATATCAGGCTACAATGGATTCATTAATTCATTTATTTATTTCCCAGGGATTATAATTAACCAGACAATGCAATAAGGAGTATAGAGACTCATGAAAATTTATTTCCCATTGTATTTTACATAGGATGACATCAGTCGTCTTCACTCACCCATATTCCCAGGGTAACCACCTTTTCTCCCACCTGGATTGGTTTGGCAACGAATGCAGCACCAATAGTCTATCAAAGAAAGACAGAAAAAATGTAGCAAGTCAAATATTGAGAAAGAGCCTTCACACACAAGCAGAGAGAGCATCCCACACATCAAGTTGGAATCACACACTGCCCTAGGAAATTAACTGATACTCACGTTCTGGTAGGGGCCAACTAGAAAGCGGTGGTGGACATATCTCTCTACAAGGCTGGTCTTTCCTACACTCTCCTTCCCAAGCATAACTACTTTGGCATCCACACGCATTGTCATAGCGCACAGGACCAAGATGAGAAAGGACAGGAGGAGCAGGAGAAGAGTAGACCAGGATGCTGAAAAGCTGTGCAACAGATGAAAAATACAAAACGATTCGTATTTTATTCAGCAGCAAGTAGCTAGTATGATTAAGTCGGGCACTGTAAACCCATGCTGTGTGAAGAAACAAAATTGTGGAATAAGTTGCCTTGTTCTCTAGTCAGCAACTAAGTGAAGGACTGCCTTCACTTCCTTTGCACCTTATTTATGGAACAAACTGCAGATACAACTTAAGTTAGACACTCTGGTGTCCCTTGCCCATTTAAAAAATGTTATGGAGGATCAATATGATGTTGTCTGTGATTGTTTCTGTTGAATTGTGTTTTTGTTTTGCATGTTTGAAATGTTCTTGTCTGTATGTCTAAAACTGTACATGTCAACATGTTTACACAGGGCACAGCCGTAAAAGAGATCCAGGTCTCAGTCTGTTTTTCCATGTTAAAATAAAGATTATTTTTTTTAAAGATGTGGTATCAAACTGTCTGTTCAAGCTTGGTACTTAATGTAATCTCCAATTGAAAATAACTTACAAAAATTATTAGAAGTGACACTCAATTTAAATGGGTGGCAGCCACCCACAGTACCAACAGAATGACGGGTTCATCTGCTAGTCGGAACTAGGAAACTGAAATTTCCGATTTACTAACTGGTTGTAGTTATACACGTTCAAGCAGTTAGCAAGTCAGACATTTCCGAGTTTCTTACTTCCGACTACTACGTGAACTCGGCAACTGTATCACAAATCGCTACAGCAGAATGTGTCCCAAGAGAGCAGTATGGCAGCATACATTTCATGTCATTACATTTGTGGCTCCTGCCAACAATTTCTAAGAAGTTCAAATGGGCATTGGTGTGTAGCTAGGTAGTTAACATACACGTAATGTTACCAATAAACTAACGTTAGAGAGCTCAACAATCAACAAAATGGTACACACAATTAGCAGACCTGAAAGATTACACAAAATGCGAATTAACTTTTCGCTAGCTTGCTTGACAGTGGCAATATTATTAGCTAGCTAGCCAACGTTTGCTAGCTTGCCATCAACGTTACATTAGCTAATGATGACTTGCTACGTAACGTTTGCTAAAGCCAAAACACTTACCTGCTTGGCAAATTCAGCGAAATGTGTTCAAATTGAAGAATGAGAACCGAGTCGGATTATACTGAGCTAAATTTAATAGCTAGCTCTTATATGAACATTTCGTTACAGTTAACGTTAGCTATCTAACTAGCTGGCTAGCCAGTGTTTGAGCCACTCGGGGTTGCTGTTGTTGTTGTCAGATTACGCAACGTCAATTGTACTACAAACTAAAATTACATACAAGCTACAGAAATATCCCTAACATGTATATTGTATATGCCATTGCTGTGTCGTATGGCAAATCTTACTCGATTTGCATTTCTGGCAGGCTCAGCCTCATTCGTTAGCTAGCAAGCAAGCTAAACACAAAATTCCAAGAGGCTTTGTTATTGGGAACTAAAGTATGAAGCATTTTTAAAAGAGGAAGTACTTAGAGGAGAGACATTCTACAGGATGTGATGTCATTAATCAGCATTACGATGACGTCGTTATCAAAGTCCATTTTTTTTTTTTACCCAAAATAGTTCAAGTCATTTTAATTACAGTTTGATGTTGTTGTTTGATAAAAATTAAATAAAATACATGCCCTACTCTCCAGGCAAGATTATCATTCTTCAATGAATTACGGTCATATGAGTTGCTCCCAAAATTCCGATTTGAATGTATTTATGCTTTGAACATTTTATATAAAATAGATGAATATCTGAAATATGCATCAAATTGATGTAATACATTTCTCAAAACTACAGTTCCAACACAAAGCCCATTGGTCAGTATTTATTGTAGTTATTGTCTCTCATCGTCGTTTAACCTGCTTGCTAGCTACATGTCAATGATTTGTTTAGAATAGCAACGTCGAATGAATAGAATTATTAGAATTAAGGACTTGCTCAAAACATGACAAAATAACTAACGACCAGCCCTCTTTTAAAAGAGTGCAGGCTGAGTTAGCTACCACCCTTACGAAAAAAGATTTCAGTCAGAGAGCAGTATAACTGCAGTACAATGCAGTATAACTGCAGTTAAAGTGCAGTCTAACTGCAGTATGTTGCAAATACTACGTCCAAAATAACTCCGTTTTTTTACTACAGTAATTTTGCAGTGTAACTGCAGTTATTCTGCAATTACTGTGTCCAAAATACCACAGTCGAGTGCAGTTACTGCACTTTTACTGCAGTTTCAAAACTGCAATCTCTTTTTGTAATGGCAATAACGGTGTATAAAAGCAAGAATGCCCTCGAAAGCAGGTATTATCGTGTGACAACTCCCCCCCAGGGCTGTATCCTGGCGGGCATCAGAACATCCCTTGTCGCAACGTTCGATGTGCCATGAGTTTGTGCTATTAGTAGGCCTACATAAAAACATTCTGCTTATTTGTCCATAAATTACATAGTTAATGAGATACTGGGTTGTGTCGGGACTCGGGAGTTGTCAGACGATAATTCCCAGGTTCTCAGGCATTATTGCTTAAGTAATACATTTGTCAAAACTACAGTTCCAACCCGAAGCCCATTGGTTAAAACTGCATAACAATGTGTTTTTGGTCTCTGTGATTGGTGCATTGATCCCACCCTCGATAAGCCTCATATACCAGTACAGTCCCAACCAAGCATAGAGAAACAAACATGGCTGATACAGAGGGAGCCGAGGAAATTCATCCAGGAATTTTGCACGAAATTTTTACTTCGCCGTTGAATTTGAGTCTGCTTGGCCTCTGCATATTTCTTTTGTACAAAATCTTCCGCGGAAACAAGCCTGCAGATATGGGCGAGGTCGAGGAACCTCTGCCTAAACTCAAGAAAAGAGATTTCACTTTAGAGGAGCTGCAACCGTACGATGGGCTGCAAAATCCAAGAATTCTCATGGCTGTCAATTTTAAGGTGTTCGATGTAACCAGAGGAAAGAAGTTCTACGGGCCAGGTAAAATAAGTTGTCTCACATTTGTTTTCATGTGCTGTCCGTCGAGCAACGACTTGGCTATTTCCGGTCAAAAGAATGGTTGGCGCTACTGTAGCCAAGTGGTTGCTGGTCTGTCAACTTTATTCCTACATTTGTTAATTATATACAGTGGTGGAAAAAGTACTCAAGTGTCATATATGAGTAAAAGTAAAGATACCTTAACAGAAAATGACTCAAGTAAAAGTAAAAGTAACCCAGTAAATACTACTTGAGTAAAGGTCTTAAAGTATCTGGTTATAAATGTACTTAAGTACAGTGGTAGAAAAAGTACTCAATTGTCATACTTGAGTAAAAGTACAAAGTAAAAGTAAATGCTATACATCAAATTCCTTATATTAAGCAAACCAGACGGCACGTATTATTTTTAACTACGGACAGACAGGGGCACACTCCAACACTCAGACATTTACAAACACAGTATTTGTGTTTTGTGAGTCCGCCAGATCAGAGGCAGTAGGGATGACAAAGCGTTAAATTGATAGGTGCCATAATTCTATCCTGCTTGAGCATTCTAAACGTAACGAGTACTTTTAGGTGTCAGGGAAATGTATGGAGTAAAAAGTACATTGTTTTCTTTAGGAATGTAGTGGAGTAAAACTTGTCAAAAAATATAAATAGTAAGGTAAAGTACAGATACCCCAAAAAACGACTTAAGTAAAATTATTTTTTCTTAAGTACTTTACACCACTGTATATATATATATATATGTGTGTGTGTGTATTAGTAAGTTGTTACATTGTAACTGTGACCATTCTAAAACGCCACACCCCCTCTCTCTTATTCATGAATCATCTGCCCACGTTTGAATTTCACAACACGTGAGCTGCTAGTGGCGTGGTCAGCCGAGTTGGCATGTAACCTCTCACCAAGTTGATTGATCCTGCGCTGTCAGGCAACCCCTCCTGAGGAACGCCCTCCCTGAAAATCTGTAGAAATTGCATTTTTTTAGTCTATTATAGGCTATGTCCCTTATTGCTGCTCCTTGTTTATGAGGTTGTTTCAGTTGCCTTCATGCCATTTCAAAATGAATAGTTTGACACAGGTGAATGCCTTGCACAAAGGTTCAAAGTTAAATTCAGCCAGACCAGATGGTTGCACAAAGTAAGGCTTGTTGAGGCCTATTGGAGAGCAATGCTAGTTCTCATTTCAAGCATTCAGGCTGTCCCTTCTTTCAGCCTCAACATCTAGAAAAAAGGGGTTGCTGTTGTGGCTATCTCTGAAGCTGTCATATAATACATTAAGCTATGTCTGTTAGAGAGCATGTGGAATTTAATTTGCACAATAAAAACTGCATACTTTCATAAAATGGTAGTCATCAGCCAATGTATACACCCTGATAAATAGTTTGTTAGAACCTGTCTATTCACAAACACATTGTAGTTAATAAAATACTTGGCTGAATTTCAAATCAAACTGTCTGTGTGATGGTTTCCAGAGGGTCCCTATGGAGTGTTTGCTGGTAAAGATGCCTCCAGGGGCCTGGCCACGTTTTGTCTGGAGAAGGAGGCCCTGAAAGACACCCACGACGACCTCTCGGACCTCAACGCCATGCAGCAGGAGAGCCTCAACGAATGGGAGACCCAGTTCACTCGTGAGTTGATGCAGAAGTTGATAGAAGTGGCTACAAAACACTGGTCTAAATTCTGATACTGTATTTTCTACTTCTACTTCAAGCGGAATGGACCTCTTGCAGTGAACATCACACACACACACACTCTCCACTCAACAGTGCAAGTTGTTAATGCACCAAACAGCTTTGATGACTTAGAATGATTGGTGTTTAAAATGCATTTCTGTATTGTGCCTCAGGGCATAACTAGTGTTGGGGTGGTCCAGTCTTTTTGTGCTTTAGTCAACTCCTCTGTGTTCCTCAGTTGGATGGCTTGGCAATGATAGAAGAGTTGGCTACATCACAAGCAATAGTATAGGACCATGCCAGGGCATAATGTAATAGTACTTTGCATCAAAATGAATCTGTTTGATACACTTTCATCAACATTACATTGAGTAGTGCTGTGAATTTAAACCCACACATGGGAGTCTTTCTGGGCCAAGGCTGTTCTCCACCCAGTGATTACCATGTCCTTGATAATGGCTCTGATGTTGTGTCTGGCGAAGGTCTCTGAGGGACTCGATGTCATTTTCTTCTTCTTCCTGCCTTTCACAGAAAAGTATGACTACGTTGGCAAACTTCTGAAACCTGGAGAAGAAGCAACCGAGTACACAGATGACGAGGAGGTCAAGGACAAAAAGAAGGACTAGAACTCAGAAGTACACAAGGGAAATTCAGATGCCTTAATTTTGTCAGGATAATGTGATGGATATTGCCTTGTGTTGCTGCATTTGAGCAAAATGCTTTCTCCTGTATGGTTTTTGTATTATCACATTTTCATGGACCATCACCTCTTGTGCTAATTTCATATGCCACATACCTTAATTTACCAAAATCTAGCAGATTTTAGGTTAAGGTTAAAATAATTATTGAATTCTGTGGTGTCTTTGTAAAGTTATACAGGTAGTATTAGTTGTCATGTAGATGCTGTTGGAGGATCTATTACTGTAGCTTGAGATGAACTTATTTCATTTTTTGTAATCATGAGATGACCACAGATTTTCAACACAGAAGCTGATAACATTCCATCACAAATCTTTTAGTTTGTTTTTTGGCCCTGGTGTTAGAGTATCCATAAAAATATCTGACTTGGCCATTCTGAGTTATCCATCACTAAGCATAGCTAAAAATCACATACTCTGTCTGACTGAACTGCAGTTAGTGTTTCTCAAATGTGTTAGAGAAGATCATGCTTGATATACTCACTCTAGCATTCACTTTCAGCATACCTTTGTAATAATAACACAATTGGTCTGATAATTTCACACACTACTAGTGTAGGGCTTGCACTGGATGAAGTAGGTTTTAGGATGTTCATACTGTAGCACAAAATATTAAAAATGTCAAGTGAACTAAGGTGCTGCCGGTACCCATTTATGTATGCCATGGCAAATACTCCCTGGAATTGGCCAGAACCTGGACTCACATACTGGTAAACACAGGAAGGGAACTCTACAAAATGCATTACAAAGGAATGTCCAAGTTTGTGTGATCATGACACTGATGTTTTGATATGATAAATAAATCTACCCAAATGTTTAATCAACCTGTGTTTGTCAGTGTTTATTTTTTGTGTGTGTGAATGTTGGGCCTGGGCATGATATATTCAGTACACACTAGTTACAAAGATCTTGATTGATGATGGGCATGATCGTGTGCATGGAGCTCATCTGAAATAATATGTGGTTTTTAGTCTACAATTCTGAACAGTATTTACTCAGTGGTGGAAAAAGTATTTTCAAATTGTAATTGTCATACTTGAGTAAAAGTAAAGATGCCTTTAATAGAAAATTACTCATGTACAAGTGAAAGTCACCCAGTAAAACACTACTTGAGTAAAAGTCTAAAAGTGTTTGGTTTTAAATACACTTACAGTGCATTCGGAAAGTATTCACACCCCTTGACTTTTTCCACATTTTGTTACGTTACAGCCTTGTTCTAACATTGATTAAATAGTTTTTTTTTTTTTCCCCTAATCTATACACTGTATATCCCATAATGACAAAGCAAAAACAAATGTTGAGACATTTTTGCAAATGTATAAAAAAATAACATCACATTTACGTAAGTATTCAGAACCTTTACTCAGTACTTTGTTGAAGCACCTTTGGCAGCGATTACAGCCTTGAGTCTTCTTGGGTATGACGCTACAAGCTTGGCACATCTGTATTTGGGGAGTTTCTCCCATTTTTCTCTGCAGATCCTCTCAAGCTCTGTCAGGTTGGATGGGGAGTGTCGCTGCACAGCTATTTTCAGGTGGTGGCAGCATCATGCTGTGGGGATGTTTTTCAGCCGCAGGGACTGGGAGACTATACAGGATAGAGGGAAAGATGAACGGAGCAAAGTACAGAGAGATCCTTGATGAAAACCTGCTCCAGAGCGCTCCGGGCCTCAGACTGGGGTGAAGGTTCACCTTCCAACAGGACAACAACCCTAAGCATACAGCCAAGACAACGCAGAAGTGGCTACGGGACAAGTCTCTGAATGTCCTTGAGTGGCCCAGCCAGAGCCCGGACTTGAACCCGATCGAACATCTCTGGAGAGACCTGAAAATAGCTGTGCAGAGCTTGAGAGGATCTGTAGAGATCTGTAGATCTGTAGAGAAGAAATACAGATGTGCCAAGCTTGTAGCATCATACCCAAGAACACTCAAGGCTTTAATAGCTGCCAAAGGTGCTTCAACAAAGTACTGAGTAAAGGCACTCTGAATACTTACGTATTTATTATATTTTATACATTTGCACAAATTTGCTTTGTCATTATGGGGTATTGGGTGTATATTGATGGGGGGGGGGGGGGGGGATATTTAATCCATTTTAGAATAAGGCTGCAAAGTAACAAAATGTGGATAGTCAAAGGGTCTGAATACTTTCGAATTCACTGAATAGACAGGTGTGTGCCTTTCCTAATCATGTCCAATCAATCAATTGAATTTACCACAGGTGGTCTGAATACAAAAAAATACTGTTTTCATGTTGTCATTATGGGGTATTGTGTGTAGATTGATGAGGAATTTTTTATTTATTTAATACATTTTAGAATAAGGCTGTAATGTAACAAAATGTGGAAAAGGTCAAGGGGTCTAAATACTTTCCGAATGCACTGTAAGTATCAAAAGTAAATGCAATTGCTAAAATATACTTAAGTATCCAAAGTAAAAGTATAAATCATTTCAAATTCCTTAAATTAAGCAAACCAGACGGCACAATGTTTTTTATTTTTATATTTATGGATAGCAAGAGGCACACTCCAACACTCGCACAATTGGCCCAGCGTCGTCCGGGTTTGGCCGGTGTAGGCCGTCATTGTAAATAAGAATTTGTTCTTAACTGACTTGCCTAGTTAAATAAAAAATAAAAAAATAAGGGAAGCACATGTGTTTAGTGAGTCATGACCAGGGATGTTCTCTGATATGTGCCTGAATTGGACCATTTTATTGTCCAGCTATATATTTCCAAATGTAACGATACATTTTGGGTGTCAAGAAAAATGTATGGAGTAAAAAGTACATTATTTTCTTTTGGAATGTAGTGAAGTAAAAGTAAAAGTTGTCAAAAATATAAATAGTAAAGTACACATACCCCAAAAAGCTACTTAAGTAGTACTTCAAAGTATTTTAACATCACAATGTCCTAGTTCTCTGCAGTGCGTAATTTTTTTATCACGTAATTACAGAACCTGCATGTTTTAGATTTTAGATTGTGACAAAACATCTGTCAGAAGTGGGATTTGAACCCACGCCTCCATTCGGAGACCAGAATTCCCGTTGATCCGGAAGGAGCTGATCCTTGAGTCTGGCGCCTTAGACCACTCGGCCATCCTGACACTGATGTTGAGAGTGGAAAAACAGTATTATTTGAAGAGTAGACACATTAATAATTTCAGCTAATTATTATTTTGCGCATTATTAACTACATAAATTGTTGAATGTTTATTTACAATATAGTGCCATTACGGACCAAAATCGACAGTAAAAAAACAAAACAAAAATGCTCATTACGGTTAGCATGATTTTAGTTCTGCGCATGCGCGTAGGAGTGCTTTTTAAACAGCTTCCGGTATTTTATCACGAACGTTCTTCCATTTTGTTCTTCAAGGGTATCCACAAATCTACAGTTGAGCCAACATGTTTCGGTTTGTTAAAGCAGCTCTGAACGTCTCCGGTAAGAGATCGTTAAAAAAATTATAGAAGTCTGGTCCTTCATATTGTGTCCGTTTGAACATTTCTATAAACGAGCAGTTATTGTGTGACTGTGCTTAGCCTTGCTAGCAACATGGCTAGCTGTCTGAAGAAGCTAGCTCGCTAGCCTACCTAGCACATTACTTTAGCGCTTGTAATTTTGACTGAGTGAATGTAGCAGCCGAGCTACTAGTTGACTAGCTAGCTGCTTACGTTTTTTTATATATATTTTTTTTACTTTACCTTGATTGGTCATGTCTGTTTTATTCTGTAACTTTTGTCATTGTTAGCTTAACTTGCCTTGACACTCATTTACAGGCAGTGAGGGGCACAATCAGACGGTAATTTCCAATGTCAACTTGCCTCCTACCTAGTCTCACGTCACCTCATCCGCAGAGCAGGTGTTAGGTTGGGTATTGCACCAGTTTAGTATACAAATCTTACAAATACATCAGTTTAAGTCTGATACTAAAGATACAGGTTAGAGGGCACCAGATTAGAGGGGAACAATCCAACATGACAATGTGATAGTCAGTGCAGAAGTCAAATTGACATTCCATCCCACCACTCTTTGGATAAGATGAGAAGTCCTGGGGTGCTAACAAGTTTGCATTCCATAACCCTTGTCTTACGCCTGTGTTAAACAGTATAACCAAGGGCTCATAACCTCTGAATCACTGATAACTCACTGTGTGGATGTTGTTCCCTTCCTATTTGTTTTATATATTCAAAGCAGGACAAGGTGCCCGCCAAGTGAGGCTCAGTTCGACGCACGCCCCTGACTTCCATGCCAAGTATGGCACTGGCCTGATGATCGGAGGAGTCGCGTTCTGTGTGTCTGTCTGGGGATTTGTACGTTTGTTTTAATCTTTGTGCACTTTTCTAGTATAACACCTTGTGATATAGAACAATGTATAGATTTGTATAGTGTTGTGTGTATTATTCCTTCCCCACAAGCTATGCATCAACATCAAATGTATTTATAAAGCCCTTTTTACATCAGCAGTTGTCACAAAGTGCTTATACAGAAATCCTCACTTGAGGATTTATTTCACTTGCTATGTACACACCAGTTGTTTTGTGATGCTCAAAGTCTCTCCTCGTTTTTTAGGTACTGACACAAACCGGCATCACATGGAATCTGTCTCCAGTCGGCAAGGTCCAGCCTAAACCATGGAGGGAGGTAGAAGAATAATGGACTGACACTGCTATCTTTTTTCCAATGGAGATATCTACCACAGCCAACCACAAAACCCTTAACCCAGATAACCTATAAACATTCTGGTTGTACAGATGGATACCCATGTTTTCAGCTTGTTACCGTTCAGGCATTACCTATGTAAACATTAAATTTAAACTAAACGTTGACTGATTCTTTTACTTAAGCAATCTGTGTCCCCTTTCATGTACTTTTCAAATGGAATCAGGAAAGTAAGAGTCAATAACTTTATGGACAATACCTGCTCAATGTTAAGATGTGTATCTGAAAATAGCTTTCCATATTATTTTTCAATATTCAGTGTATTTAAGGATGTCATCCTATGTGATTCTAAGGAGGTTCAGGCTTAAATACATTACGTGGTCCTCTGTAGCTCAGCTGGTAGAGCACGGCGCTTGTAACGCCAAGGTAGTGGGTTCGATCCCCGGGACCACCCATACACAAAAATGTATGCACGCACGACTGTAAGTCGCTTTGGATAAAAGCGTCTGCTAAATGGCATATTATATTATTATGTCCTGTCACTTCTGCCATGCCATATTTGCCTGACCTATATGTAACCATGAGAGGGTGCTGTTGCTCTGTAAATGTTCTCGCCCATGTCTGATAGAGATACAGCTGAGATGTGCTTGTAGCCAGGCAGTGCTTACTCATCAGAATCACCTTTATTCACCAAGTACATTTACACATACTCAGAATTTAATTATGTGATATGGTGCTGCTAGTGATGGAACACGTAGCGACAATACAGATAGCGGAGTGTGCATACTGTACAATATATACAGCTAGGTAGTGAGCATAGAGCTATAACGGAATGAACAGTGGCTATGCAGTTGATATAGCCTATAGTGGATGTACAAGTTTACAGTATCAGTATAAATAGATCTAAATGCATAATGATTAACAGAGTGCAAGTGCAGTTATTTTGTGTTCAGTTTGGCTTGAGGTGCAGCAGAATGCATAGTCCTTTAGTTTATGTGCCAGATTGCCGGTTGAGGGCCAAAGCACAGAGAAATAAACTGTTCAGGTGGTGGGTGGTTTTGGTCATGATTGACCTGAACCGCCTGCCAGAGGAGAGTTTTTGGAAGAGGGGGTGACCAGGGTATTTGTATTTATTATGGGGGTGGGAGGGGTCAGCGATAATCTTTCTTGCACACTTCCTTGCCCTGCAGTACTGCGATGGAGGGCAGGTGGTGTATTTTCACCATACAGTTTTTGTTATATGATAGTCAACTAACTGTACAATGTGTTATTTTAAAGCTTATGATACCCAGGCAATATATCATATCACCAGAAAAGCGGGTGTACCTCAAATCCAATTTTGTTCGTCACATGCTTCGTAAACAACAGTTGAAGACTAACAGTGAAATGCTTACGGGCCTTTTGCAACAGAGAAAGAAAATAGGAAAGTAGTATATACAAAATGAGTAACAATAACATGGCTACATACACGGGGTACCAGTACCGAGTCGATGTGCAGGAGAACGAGGTAGATACTGTATGTACATATAACTAGGAATAAAGTGACTAGGCAACAAGATAAACAGTAGCAGCAGTTCAAGGGTTTTTCTTAATTTTTTCTATTTTCTACATTGTAGAATAATAGTGAAGACATCAAAACTATGAAATAACACATATGGAATCATGTAGTAACCAAAAAAGGGTTAAACAAATCAAAATATATTTGAGATTCTTCAAATAGCCACCCTTTGCCTTGATGACAGCATTGCACACTTCACATTCTCTCAACCAGCTTCACCTGGAATGCTTTTCTAACAGTCTTGAAGGAGTTCCCACATATGCTGAGCACTTGTTGGCTGCTTTTCCTTCACTCTGTGGTTCGACTCAACCCAAACCATCTCAATTTGGTTGAGGTCTGGGGATTGTGGAGGCCAGGTCATCTGATGCAGCACTCCATCACTCTCCTTATTGGTACAATAGCCCTTACTCAGCCTGAAGGTGTGTTGGGTCATTGTCCTGTTGAAAAACATATGATAGTCCACCTAAGCCCAAACCAGATGGGATGACGTATCGCTGCAGAATGCTGTGGTAGCCATGCTGGTTAAGTGTGCCTTGAATTCTAAACAAATCACAGACAGTGTCACCAGCAAAGCACCCCTACACCATAACACCTCCTCCATGCTTTACGGTGGGAAATACACATCTCACAAAGACACGGCGGTTGGAACCAAGTTTCCTCCAGACCAAATTTCCACCGGTCTAATGTCCATTGCTCGTGTTTCTTGGCCCAAGCAAGTCTCTTCTTCTTATTGGTGTCCTTTAGTAGTTGTTTCTTTGCAGTAATTCAACCATGAAGGCCTGATTCACACAGTCTCCTCTGAACAGTTGATGTTGAGATGTGTCTGTTACTTGAGCATTTATTTGGGCTGCAATTTCTGAGGCTTGTAACTCTATTGAACTTATACTCTGCAGCAGAGGTAACTCTGGGTCTTCCATTCCTGTGGCGGTCCTCATGAGAGCCAGTTTCATCATAGCGCTTGATGGTTTTTGCGACTGCACTTGAAGAAACTGTAAAAGTTTCCGTATTGACTGACCTTCATGTCTTAAAGTAATGATGGACTGTCGTTTCTCTTTGCTTATTTGAGCTGTTCTTGCCATAATATGGACTTGGTCTTTTACCAAATAGGGCTATCTTCTGTATACCCCCTCCTACCTTGTCACAACACAACTGATTGGCTCAAACTCATTAAGAAGAAAATAAATTCCACAAATTAACTTTTAACAAGGCACACCCGTTAATTGAAATGCATTCCAGGTGACTACCTCATGAAGCTGGTTGAGAGAATGCCAAGTGTGCAAAGCTGTCATCAAGGCAAAGGGTGGCTATTTGAAGAATCTCAAATATAAAATCTATTTTGATTTGTTTAACCCTTTTTCGGTTACTACATGATTCCATGTGTTATTTCATAGTTTTGATGTCTTCACTATTATTCTACAATGTAGAAAATATTAAAAATAAAGAAAAACCCTTGAATGAGTAGGTGTTAAAACTTTTGACCGGTAGTGTATGTGATGAGTAAAAAAAAAAAAGTGAGTACAAAAAGGGTAAATGAAGTTAGTCCGGGTAGCTATTTGGTTAACTATTTAACCAACTATACTGAACAAAAATATGAAACGCGACATGCAACAATTTCCACGATTTTACTGAGTTACAGTTCATACAGAGCCCTGTCGATGTGAATGGGGACGTGCTCGGCCCTCCATTTCTTGTAGTCCATGCTCCTTTGTCTTGCTGACGTTGAGGGAGAGGTTGTTGTCCTGGCACCACACTGTCAGGTGTCTGACCTCCCTATAGGCTGTCTCTGTCATCGGTGATGAGGCCTACAACCATCGTGTCATGAGAACCTACATCATGAGTACCCCCCACTGGTACATATGTGGACCCCTTGTGCAATGTATGTAGGCCCTACTTGTCTGAAATTAAATCACATCAACCTGGTTCTCCAATATGTCATGACAGAAATATGTCTGTATGTCTGGTGTTTTCAGTGTTGCAAGATATATTCATATCTTTGGTTGAGTTCCCCTGCTTAGACGTCATGGGCTTTTCATTCGACTGACCGATTGCTATAATATATGGTTAGCTGATACGTAAAATACCTATGCAGGCGTTGTAACGTCTCGATCACACCGACAGCGTCATTGCGTTTTGAACACCAGACGTACATTAATTTCCAATGGAACGCTGCATTTGCCTTGCAGGATTGCTTTGCAGAGGCGGTTGCAGTGCGTTCTGTGTGGTGCATACATTATCCAACGTATGCCTCAAATTGTATGCGTAGACAACAGAAATAGTAGCAAAAGGTGAATATTAAACTTTTGTTGCACACATATCCACTAATAAATGTATTACTCGCATTGATGCAGTCGGTCTGATTGAGGCGTAAGATCTGGCATGCATCAGCCCTTATGCCGCGTTCAAAACAACTGGGAACTCTGAAATCTCCTACTTCAGTGCGTTCAAGACAACTGGGAACTCAAGGGGGGAGGGGGGGGGGCAGACACTAGGCCCTTGTTTTTTCCTTTCAATTAAGACCTAGACAGCCAGGTGAGGGGAGTTCCTTACTAATTAGTGACCGAGTGGCGCAGCGGTCTAAGGCACTGCATCTCAGTGCTGGAGGCGTCTACAGACCCTGGTACAATTCCAGGCTGTATCACAATCCGGCCGTGATTGGGAGTCCCATAGGGTGGCGCACAATTGGCCCAGCGTCGTCCGGGTTTGGCCGGGGTATGCAGTCATTGTAAATAAGAATTTGTTCTTAACTGACTTGCCTAGTTAAATAAAGGTTAAATAAAAAATGAATAACAAAATGTATCAATCAAGTACTGTACAAGGGAGGCCGAAAACACACTGACACGTGCATTAAATTAGAGTATACAGTGCGTGTCTGACTTTTAAATAGATTGTCATATTTCCTGGAACATAGAGGTTTATTGAGTCAATGTCAAAGTAGATTCCGTAAATGTAGATCTACTTTGAATGCATTAGTAAAGGTGAGCAATGAAGTTGAAAAAAACTCTGGTCATGAAAGAAGTAATGGCTACTGTCTTTTTTGACATTGAAAAGGCTTATGACGCTATGTGGAGAGAAGGCCTACTGATTAAGATGGAAAGACTTGGTATTGGTGGGAGATTATATAACTGGGTTTTGGCCGCCTTATTTAAAATCGCTCTTTTCGAGTTAAAATAGGATACATTTTATCTGATGGAGTTGACAATGGTATTCCTCAAGGCAGTGCTATCAGTCCTATTTTGTTCAACATTATGATTAACGATGTGTTTTCAAATGTAGGTAGGGGTATTGGGGCTTCCCTATATGCTGATGATGGAGCTATTTGGAAGAGGGGAAGGAATGTCTCATGATCAAATCTATTCAACTAGCTATAGTGGATGTTGAAAAATGGTCAATTGACTGGGTTTTTAAACTGTCAGTGGCAAAGACTTGTATGTTC